GAAAATCTTTTTTAAATATAGATATTTATAAAATAGAAATAGAATTAAAGCAGTTAATAATTTTACTTTAATGTTCTACTCTTTTCAAAGGAACCCTACCTTCTTTAAGCCAGGATCTTCAACCTGTCAAATCTGTAAGAGTAATTTTTATTGACCCTTCATAGACAGAAGTCAATGCCAATTCTCAATATTACCCTTGAAACCTTTATCAGATCAATAATAAGGAGCAACCATGTTTAAAATCGCTAATAATAAATCGTTTACTTCGTGAAATAATAGATAAATTGTCCGTACTGTACAGTGTACAGTTCGTACTGTACAGTGTACAGTTCGTCAGAGAAACTTCAGATTAATAATCCGTTGTTACGCCAAGTTACAGAAAGTTCGTGTTAAAAAATTTCTTTTTAACTAAAAATTATGTAATTTAGCAAAGACAATAATTCTATTAAAATTTGTTTAAATACTTGTAGACGCCTCACTGCAATATAGTTCTTAATTACTAAAGTAAATTTCAAGCTAATCACTTCAATTAGAACTACTCTTATTCCATTTTGAATCTATAGTAATTAACCAAACAGAGGAATTAAGTCTTTAAAACAAACTCGAATTTGCTAGTCTCTATATCTTTGCAACCTGATATAAACCTATGATATTTCAAACTTGGATTATTTGATTTTTCAGAAATAATTGTTTGAAATCTCAAAGTTCTACGACAAATTGGGTTGCTCAAATATAAGGATTAGAAAATCAGAGTTTGTGGTAATGACTCAATTTCTTAGCTTTTATCATACTTTTGTGCATGAAATCAAAACTAGAGAAGCCACATATCAACAATGTCACAAAAACTAGGCCTTCTCCTCCTGTTTAGCGGAGTGCATTATTGTTTATACTGTGATAAGGTTTGGAATTTATTAACAAAACTTGAGAAAGGTTTTTCCAATAATTACTTTAGTATATACTTTCCCATACTTTCCTTTACTCAGCCAGGTAGGTAGGTAGACAGATAGATAGATAGATAGATAGATAGATAGATAGATAGATAGATAGATAGATAGATAGATAGATAGATAGATAGATAGATAGATAGATATAGATAGATAGATAGATAGATAGATAGATAGATAGATATAGATAGATAGATAGATAGATAGATAGATAGATAGATAGATAGATAGAAAGATAGATAGATAGATATAGATAGATAGATAGATAGATAGATAGATAGATAGATATAGATAGATAGATAGATAGAAAGATAGATAGATAGATAGATAGATAGATAGATAGATAGATAGATAGATAGATAGATAGATAAATAAAAGCTTAAAAATTAAAGAAAATAGAGACACACAAGTGTTCTTTTTTCAGCATTAAAAATTTGGTCCGTATAATGTATAAAAAAGGTTAAAGCGATTCAGCGGCTTTAAATAAATGTGTTGAAACCCATATTGACATTTTTGTAAATCTATTTTTCATTCTTTTTTAAAAACTATTTCTTCCTCAATTGCATTCAGTTTTCTATTTTGTTAAGTATTGATTTATTTTTCTTTACAAAGCTCTGAAAATAGTTAGACGCAAGTATAATATAGACCCATGACTAGGGCCCATAGAAATAGTCCTTGCAAGGTTTGGTTTCAAAATCGACCTGTGCACCATGGTATGTAAGCATACATTCATAATTACATAAAAATATTACACATACATACATAAATAAAAAATAAAAATAATACACAATTTTCATCCTGGGTTAGGTTTGATTATCAGGTTGGTATGTAGTAAGATGATGAAAAGACTGCGCATACATAAAAACTAGTCCAAATTTTATTTTGTTAATGAAATTTGCCCTGCAGATGAGTAAGAAGGTTAACACTAAAATGTTTGTTTGAAGAAAAAAAGTTCTTTTCGACATTTTGATTGAAATTTTGCCACATGCATTGGATCCGCATATTTTTAGGATTTCTGCTCTAGAAACAATTTCGGGAATTGTTAGAATTAAACACTAAAAGCGACGAAGTCTTCTCATTATTGGTAAAAAAAAGGTTTAAAGGGTAATGTAGTCTTTTGAGTATGTATGGAGGGTCACTAGACACTAGACAGTGATGGTTTCTTTAAAATGTTAATTTGATACTCCAGGCCAGGAGCAAAATATAGATATTCACCAGGAGTATGCAAGAAGCAATATAAATAAATATATAAAGATTATAGAAATTGTGATTTTGGCCTAAGATTGATTCATGTTTAAAATATGTTATGATAATATGATTTGTTTTAAACCTATACGATAGTCAATTGTTTCTATGAAAAAATTCTTACTAAATGATTTAAGAACAACATTTAGTCTAAAAAACAAAACCGACCTAATATTTTATTTGGTTGCCTAGTATTACCGCACTGCCGGATTTTTAAACGCATTTTTAAAAAGCTTTAAATTCTCCAAATCAGTGTATTTTTCATATGTTGTGATCTGATAAAAGAGTCAATGACACTCTCCACTAAACCCCACTATTTATTTGGTCAGAGTACTGGAAATCGCTGGAGTACACACTGAAAGCTGAGTTGAGGGTGATGAGTTTACACAATAACACATTGTGTAAACTTTTAAAATATGAAACACAAAATGTTAAGACGATTAAAACTTTATCTATTTAAGCGTCAAATCCAAAGAGAATAGAATATATTAGAGTGGAATTTACTAGAAAAAAGTGAAAAACGGCCATTTGTTGTACTTTTTCTATACTGCAGGTGTACTTCACACATTAGTGCTATATAACCTTTTGGGCCCTGGAACATCATGTTATAGAAAAGTTTTCTTGAAAATTATTTTATTTTCTCTAAATCAATTCTCTAATAGCCTGTCATGCATTCCCGGGTTCATTTCAGCAGAAGTTTCGATAAAAATCTATTTGATGTTTTTATTTAGTAAAAAACATAATTTTTAATTTGAGGAAATCAAACAGTAAAACCAATGTGGGCACTAATACATTTAAGGCTACAGGGTTAACCATATGGGATGAGACTGTGAAGACGACTTAAAAAATTTTAAATTGACAATACCAAGTTTAGTCCTCTGCCTTAAGTATAGTCTTCTGGGAAATATATCATAAAAATAAAATAAATATAAAATAAATATATGTACATAGACAGTATAAATTAAGTACAGTTGTCACTGAGGGCAACCCTGTATATGCTTGATTTCTCAATTCAACTTATTCCTTCACGAGGATGTCGAAAATAAATTCAATTAATTTGTAGATCTGCTATACATATAATATGGAGATCAATGCTTGATCTGTAGATCTGCAATACATATAAGATGGAGATCAATGCTTGATCTGTAGATCTGCATATAAGATGGAGATTAATGCTTGATCTGTAGATCTGCATATAAAATAGAGATCAATGCTTGATCTGTAGATCTGTATATAAGATGGAGATCAATGCTTGATCTGTAGATCTGCATATAAAATGGAGATCAATGCTTGATCCCGAAAGTCACCTAATACAAGTTCGGACTTCTGTTGTAATTGGGCTATTACTAATATTTTAGCAGAAGCAAACAAGTTACATATTCCGATCATGTATGTTTGGGGGTGGACAATGTGCATGCACATTTTGGATTAATGTGGCACACTCCAGAAATGTGAACTGACCCGGGACAAAATCTATATTTACATATACTTTGCTTGCCTGTTGGGGTGGTTGTCCGTTTGTGTCCAATAAACGTTAAAACGGCTGAACCGAATGGGTCCATATTTTCTGCGGGACCTCACAGGACCCCAGGGAAGGTTTATGAATGATCAAAATTTCAAAAAATTGCCTCCAACAAAATTCGATTTTCATTAAATGTTGAAAATCTACGAAATTTTGTTTTATTAAATCCGCAACTTTTTCTTGTTAATGTTTTACAACGTATAGAGAAAGTGTTTACTAAATTTGAGCTAGGTCGCTGAAAACCTACAGTCGATTCAAATAATTATCTGTAGTTCTGTAACGTGTTATAGTTCAGTTATTCAAAGTTTGCAAGCGCTCACGCACAAATAGATTGGAATTTTGCCAATTACTTAATTGTAAAATGAAGTTAAAAACGAGTGTTTTAGAGTTCTAAAATGTCCATGTTTGAGGCTTAATAAAGTATAAGGGAGTTATTGAGGTAAAAAGGGTAAGGTGTGTGTTGTGACACTTCAATGTCGATCTTGAAAACTGATCCAACTTTTTATAGCAATGTAAAGCTAAGCGAAGACTCCATGTAAATTCAAATAGTTGCATTATTTCACTCAAACCGTAAATAATTCAATCAAAATAAAAAAAAATTTTCTTTGAAAATTATTATAAATAAATTCTGGATTTGATTCGGTTAATTTGAATGCATTTGACATAGCATTACATTTCTTCTCTTATTCTTCGTTGACAACTTATTTTTAAGGCTGGAGCTGGATTTTTGAATAAATGAAAATATGCAAATCTCGTCTTAGATATTAAAAATATAATCGCATCATATAAAAATTAAAATTAGGATTATATTTTTAATTTATTCGAATGATCTAAATCGAATCCGGAATTTGTATTGTACAGTGAGAACCAGAAAACTCTATAATAGGAAGAGGACTGATAGTCATGACTTTAAATAGTCCAAAGAGCATGGAACATCACAGCAATTGTGCTGTGTAATTTTATATTACAGTATTTATAGTATCAGATCATAAGCTTAACATATTTGAATTATTAAGGGTTAGAGTGGATCAATCCAACTTTTTCAACCGTTTTCTCCTTTTTTACACAACAGATAAAAGTAAAATTAGTAGACGGGGTGCGTGTGTGCAGATGTGTGAGCACCCTATTAAATTGCTTTGACCATCATTTATTTATTTTATACATATTGTTAAAAAATAAAATTTAAAAAAAAAGAATCTTAAATATTCTATGAAATGTCCTATCTATGAATTTATTTTTCTATGAATGTCCCATCTATGAATTTTATTTTTCTGTGAAATTTCCCAACACCGATTTATTCTAAATTTATTCACATTAAAAGATTTAGACAACAAAACAACTAAAAATAAACTATTCCTATTATTAATTAACAAATATATACTGACAATAATCCCAAATATTATTATTTGACGTGAAATTCTATTTTTGTAATCTCTTCTCCCATCTGGACCAGGCCAGCCTGAAAACAAAAGATTTCGAAAACCAGTTTATTTAAGTAATATTTTAGTCAAATTAAGGGTAAAGAAACTGAGTTTTTTTTGCCACAAACTTAAATTTTATAATCCATTTGTCTAGCAACCTGATGATTCAATGCATTTGATATTTCTTGCTTAAACTATTTGATATATGGTTTAAAAAGGGCTGCGACATCGCGGGTTGCAGAGATACGGATTATAAAATCAGAATTTGTGTCAAAAACTCAGTTCAAATCGTGATAGATTGAAATTATATAAGTTTTAATCATAGCTCCTCTTTCTTAGGCGTAATCAAGAAGAATAAAATAGTTTTTGAATTTTGATTGTGCAATCTATGAAAATTTGCTTTCTCATACATGGAGAAAATACGAGGTCACAAAACCATACAAGTAATTTGTCATGACCTTCTCCCTCTGTATAGTGAGTTTAAATGAATATAAAATGTTGTTATTCTTATATATGCTGAAGTAAATGAATATTAATGTTTAAACCTGAATAATATCTCCTGACACAACCCTCCCTACTCCTTCAGGGGTTCCGGTCAGAACCAAATCACCTAAAATTTCAAGTAACCTCCCATTTCAGAATCATCGAAAATGTGGAGCTTAAGATTTTTATTTTAACAAATTTTCTCTCTTATTTGATATTTAAGCACAATTATATATATATATATATATATATATTTTCTACTAAATATATCCCAGATTTCACAAATATAAACTTTATATATTTATAATTAATAAATAAGACAAAAACCTTGGTTTAATACTGACCTGGTTCAAGAGTAATGAATTGAGAAACGTAGGAAAGAATCTGAGGAATCCTGGAGATTAAAAGTATTTTGTGCTTTAATTAGGGGGGAAAACTCAGTTAACGTTCAGAAAAAAAGATTATTCTCAAATCAGTATCGAACAAAAATAATCGTTGCAGAACACAACGATTTCGAGGTTCGCCAAGTGAATTGACGCCTAATGCATGTACTATTATATAAACCACTGCTTACTAATTGGTACCTTACAAATGTCTGAAAATATATGAACGATCCCTTTAATGACTTTTTATTTTACCTGAAAATGAAATATTTGGTATTTGATCTTTGTCTTTTAACTCCGTTCACGGATAACCAAATATCTAACCAAACATATAGAAGTTTTAACTTTGTTAATGATCAATCAAATATTAGAAAAAAAGTATATAAGTTTATTTTGTTCATGTTCATGTTCATTATTCAATCAAATATTAGAACAAAAGTATAGAAGTTTACTTTGTTCATGTTCATGTTCATTATTCAATCAAATATTAGAACAAAAGTATAGAAGTTTACATTGTTCAGGTTCATGTTCATTGTTCAATCAAATATTAGAACAAAAATAAAGAAGTATTGACTTTGTTTATGTTCAATTAAATATTAGATCAAAAATATAGAAGTTTTAATTTTGTTTATGTTCAATCAAATATCTGAACACAAATAAGAGGTTTACTTTGTTTGTGATAAATCTAATATTAGAACAAAAATATAGAAATTTCAATTTTGTTTATGTTCAATCAATATTAGAACAAAAATATTGAAGTTTCAACAACGTTAAAGTTTCATGATATATCAAGAAATAAAATAAACTTATTTTTTTGACTAAATTTTAGACAACTTATTAATATTATATTATTATTATTATTGTTATTATAAAACTGAAAAAAGCTAAGTACCAAGGGCATGAGGATCTGATATTTTATCTTTGCTAATGAATTCGCCAACTGGACAGCTCGTATCAAACATCTTAATTTTTTATTATCAATATTTTCAATATTCGTATTATCATTATTATAATTTCCATGATTATTTGTATGCATATTATCATGATTAATATTTTTACTGTTATTAGTATCATTATTATTAATATTATCGTATAGTTAATACTTTAGCTAAGGTCCACGGAACTCCTGCATTTTTTGCTTTCCTCTGCTCATCTCTTAAATAGATTTTTGAAATATATATTTTATTTTCAGCGAGAACAACAAAAATTGTCGAGTCATTCTGATGTTCCTGTCAGTTGTTTCTGAAGAAGAAATGTGCAAATCACCGTATTGAGAAAATAATCAATTTTCAAAGATGAGATAATGGATATCTCATTCTTGATCAGACAAACATTTTTAGGTTACAGATGTGAATCGGACCTGACACTTTGTAATTGGTGCGTCAGTTGAATTTAAATCTATTCATAGTCCCTTTAAGGAACAAATACGAACTTTAAATCTTTCACTCGTTTTTTAGATTTTACTAAACAGACTTATTATTGGGTGAACCATGCTATGTCTATGAAAAGAAACGAATCCGAATGAATGTATATTTACTGTTCGCTCTCGCAGCTTAAGGGGACTGTAAAGGAAAAATTAAAAGAGGGATAGGCTTAAACCTTAGAATCTCAGGAGTTGATTGAGACATATAAAACTTCTATCTGATGTTCCTGTCTCGAGAAATTCATATAAAATTGTGTCAAATTTATACCAAACGTATATATATAAGATTTTGTATAAGATTCGTAGTATTAAACAGATCATATTCAACAAATACGCAACCAATCTGAAAACAACGATATCCTAGAGGAGCCTGAGAAACTCAAGTTTGCTCATATTATTATTTGAATTTAATAATAATGATATAATTGATTTTTATGCGTCTGGAAAATGTCACCAGAACTCCAACAAATTGCAGTGCAGCATTATTGTCACATGTCTCCGTCTGTATCATGGGGGGAGTTATGGTTACGTGATGCGGACGTATATTTTGCGTTTTGGGTTAATTTTGACACAGTTCTATGTCAATTTCTCAAGACAGGAACATCAGATAGAGGTCTTATAGTTATTGTTCAACTCCTGAGATTCTAAGGTTTCAGCCTATACACCCTTTCTTTTTTCCTTTACAGTCCCTTTAAAGTAGGTACTTGAAATAAACTGTCCCAATATTTATTTTTTCGATATTTTAGTTATTTTTAAGATTCAAGTAAACTTTGAACATATTATTCAAAAATTCTTTATGAAAACACGTTTAAAGTAATTTATTTTTACCTGGCGGTCATATCTAAAGCCAATGTGTAACCCTGTTCAAACATTTAATTCAGGATCAATCAGAGTTTACAAAAAATGTAAAATTTTATTAAAAATAAAAATGTAAATTGTGTATGTTTTTAAGTTGAAAAGATTCAGATTTACCAATAAGCAGGGTTTGTAAAAATTAGCGCAATAAAGAATTTTGCTAAGAATTCTAGGTGTGCCTTATAACCATCAATCAGCCAAAAATATTAAAAATCCTCGAAATCTTCCTGAATCCAATCCATAGCTTTATCTTCGGCAATGTTCTTCCCTGTTTTGCTGATTATAAGTCCTAGTTCAACCTAAACATAGCTGATTGTTTGTCCTAGTCCAATCTTCACATAGCTGATTTTAGTCCTAGTTCAACTTTAACATAGCTGATTATTAGTTCTAACTCAACCCTAACATAGCTGATTATTAGTTCTAACTCAACCTTTACATAGCTGATTATTAGTCCTATTTTCAAGCCTAACACATCTGATTAATAGTCCTATTTTCAACCTTAAGATAGCTGATTATTAGTCCTATTTTCAATCTTAACATAGCTGATTAGTAGTCCTATTTTCAACCTTAACATTGCTGATTATTAGTTCTAGTACAACCTAAACATAGCTGATTATTAGTTCTAATTCAACCTTAAACCTAGCTGATTATTAGTCCTGGTTCAGCCTGAATATTGCTGATCATCAGCTCTAGTTCTACCTCACCATAAAGGGTGTTGAACAGAAAACAAGGGGGCAGGGATACAGTGGGGATAGGGATACAGTGGGGATAGGGATACAATTGGGGGCAGGGAGACAGGGGGAACAGGGATTCAAGGGGGCAGGGAGACCTGGGGACAGGGATTCAAGGGGGCAGGGAGACAGGGGGACAGGGATACAAGGGGGCAGGGAGACAGTGGGGACAGGGATACAAGGGGGCAGGGATACAGTGGGGACAGGGATACAAGGGGGCAGGGATACAGTGGGGACAGGGATACAAGGGGGCAGGGATACAGTGGGGACAGGGATACAAGGGGGCAGGGATACAGTGGGGACAGGGATAAATTGGGGGCAGGGAGACAGGGATACAAACCTCATGTTGAAGATCTACACACCCAGGAGGCGTAATTATCTTTTCATCCCTGAAAACAATTTAGGAAAATAAAATTGAAAATCATAATTTTCTAAATATCTTTATAAATTAATTCAAACATTAAAATTTAAGCCTATCATTGTCTTCACAAATTCCTAAAATTATTAAAAAATTAAAGAATTCCTCAAATTAATTTAAAAAGATTCAGTCCTGAGAAATAAATTCTATAGAAAAATACATTTCAGCTTTTTTATTAAATTCTTTCAAATCAATTAGTATTTTAATTTTGCTTTTAACCTTGTTATATAAGCTGTGGTGGGTTTCAAAAAGAAAACAGGTACACTTGGTACATCGTTCCCTTAAGAAAATGAATCTACCTAACGGATTTTTAAAAAATATAAAATTGATAAAAAGAATTCGTACCTAGTTCTTTCACATGCATCTCATAATTTCGTCCAACACATACAATCTTTTTACTAAATTTGAAAATATCATAGTTTGGAATATAGAAGAAAGTTTTTGGAAACAGTTGCATCTTTTTTTTACTTTAAAAGCAGTTTTTCTCTTAAATTGTTAAAGATACTTTGAGGACTAGAACTATAAGGGCCGGATTCCCTGGTGGGGAACCTAATAGGTTTATAATATATAGAGAATGGGGTTACAGTGATTTGATCTCAAGTCTACTTATAGAAACAACAAAGACGGGTTCATATACCATTTGATTAATGTTGATGTCAAGTCTACTAGAAACAACAAGGACGGGTTCATATACCATTTGATTAATGTTGATGTCAAGTCTACTAGAAACAATAAGGACGGGTTCATATACCATTTGATTAATGTGAAACTGAATGTCAAGTCTACCAAAAACAAGAATGAGTTAACACCTTTGGACAAATGTGGATGTCAAGTCTACTAGAAACATCTTAAATGGATTTACGTATTTTGATTATTGTGGATGCCATCTTTCACTAGATTTTTCTTCAGTTGCCTTTCCAAAATGTAAGTATTAGTTATTTTTATTACGACGAAAAGTGATTATTTTTAAAAGCTTCATTCTTTCTTATTTGTAATATTTTGAATGACCTGTGCTTCCAGAACTGCTCAAAATCACACATTTTTTTACTAAAAACAATTATATTTTTAAAACAATTTTTACGAAACATTGAAGTTAAAATCTAAAAATGTGAAAACATAATATGTCTCACAACTAGTATGCTTGAATACTGATAACACATGTGTACACTGAATGTTTAACATGATGAACTGAGTCCGAAATTTAATAGAATATCATTGAACAAAACTTCCGAGTGTCCTTTTTGGGGGCTTAGCATTTTGTAGACTTCTATTTAAAAGATTCAAAAAAAAAATATGAAGAAACTAAATAACAAAACTGCCTAACCTCATTCGTGAAACACGGGTTTCAAAACTGGTTTTCATATCTTAAGTTTTTGGCTCTATAGTCTGTAAGTAGAGATGGGCAAGTTAGAACTTTTAATTTAGAAATAATGTTCGTTAATAGTTATTCAAATTAACAAAAAGAACAGTCCTCTCACGTTTTTGTTAATTTTTAGCCAATACTAACCGATTAGTTAAAGGAACCAATTGCCGAGCCCTATTACGCACAGCTTACGGTTTCAAACGAAAAAACTGATGAAAATTTTGCCAATTACTTCTTAAAAACTAAAGCCAAAAACAATTGCTTAAGAGTTCAAAAATTGACATATATAAGGCTACATAAAAGTATAAGTGAAAACCAAAGGCCAAGGCGTTGCGTGAAACCTATAATTATGTGGACCCAATCTTGAAGATTGATGCAATTTTTCATAGAAACGGAACTTAACCCAACCCTAACTGTAGGGAGTATTATCGCGGTGGTAGACGATTATATCAATATAATAAAAAACTACACACAAACTTGGAAACAAAGAGAAGCTGTAAATTAAAAGCTTCTCTTTAATTACTTGTAAACTTGTAATGCGAAAAAAGCTTATTAACAATTGAAACTTAAATACAAAAGTCGTCTTCATTATATTGATATAATCGCCTACCGTAACCAGAAATGTTGGGGGGGGGGGTGGCTATATAAAGACAAGAGTGTGACATGCCGGTACAACACGTACTGTAGACGCATTCAGTCGTACCGTCCAGTTTGACTAACCACGGTAGAGTCGACCCAGTATTTTTATGCAACAAATGCAGCCTGAAAAGATCACAGTGGAATTAGTGCATTTAAGAAGTCAGCACACTTCAATCAGCCAAGTGGACCTAGTTTAACCAATTCAAGATATTCATTAAATCTGACCTCAGAACAAATATCTTTTTTTAGTATTGACATTCAATATATTGTTTTCTTTTTAAATATTAATGCTATTTATAATATCTCAATTATTAAAGTGTATTGATTTTACTAATAAATTTTGACATATCTCATGGGACCCCTCCCCCACGGTGGAAGTATTTTAGGGGGTCATGGAGTGGTTGACTATTTTTGTTCAATACTCCTCTTAAAATGCATTTGTCTTGTGTTTCATGTTGAGAATGGGCAAAATGAATATATTCTGATAATCTTTTCATTTACTAAAAGTGTATGACGATGCAGCTAGCAATTTTTTATAATGATTTCAATTTCCCGTTCATATATTTATCATTGAATTGATCCTGTAATCCCGCATTATATTTAGATGTCGTCTTTGTTACAACGAGTATTTCGGAAGAAAAACTTATATTTTATAGTAAAAGCGCAAGAAATCACTGGGGTATCGGGATAATCTAAATATATAAATAGATTCTAACAGCTATACAGAAAAGATTTAAGGGCTCCAGCAGCAACCAAAATCCTTAAGTTCGTCAGAGTAGCGTGTTGAAAAATCTTATTTTTAGAGTTTTCAATGAAATAGCGGGTTTTCAGTCTAAATTCTTAACTAAAACATAACATTTATCATTGGGTTACAAAGATATAGAGATTAGAAAATCAGAGTGTGTGGCAAAAACTCAACTCCTTTATTCAGAATTCCAAAGAACTCTAATATGTACAAAAAGAGAATATTAAAATTCGAACTGTATTTATATATATAGTTGAACATATTTTTGAACTTCATCTTTTATTTTAAATTGAATAAGGAAAATTTGTAGGTCCAAATCTGGGGAAAATGGTAAAAAATTACATTAAAAAAATGATCCAAATTATTTACTTCACACCCCCATCCACTTAGCAATTTACCCAACATGCACCTCTTCCTATATAATATATATATAATTTGGATTGAATATGCATGTAATGTATATATATGCGAGTGTAGTGTATACTGTATATGTGTGAAAGTCAAGATGACAGCTGGGCACACATCTATTTTTAGTCACTCGGTATCCTAGCTTCAACAGTTCAGGAGTACACTGATATACATAGTACACAGTAAACCTAGCTTCAACAGTTTAGGAGTACACTGATATACAAAGTGCACAGTACACCTATCTTCAACAGTTTAGTAGTACTCAGTTATACATAGTACACAGTACACCTATCTTCAACAGTTTAGTAGTACACAGATATTGATAGTACACAGTACACCTAGCTTCAACAGTTAAGTAGTACACAGATATACATAGTACTCAGGACACCTTGCTTCAACAGTTTAGTAGTACACAGATATAAATAGTACACAGTGCACCTTGCTTCAACAGTTTAGTAGTACACAGATATACATAGTACTCAGGACACCTTGCTTCAACAATGGGTATATCTGGTACATAATACACTAAGCTTCAACAGTATAGGAGTACACAGATATATCTAGAACATTATAGTACACCTAGTTTCAACAGTTAAGGAGTACACCGATATATCCAGAAGAAAGTACACATAGTTTCCACAGTTTAGCCATGAGTACACAAATAAATCTAGTACAAAGTACGCCTAGCTTTAATGTTTCAGCAGTACAAAGATATACACAGTACAATTGTAAAGTTGTCTAATATGTTATATGTACACAGTTTCCTATAAAGTTACATTGTATAAGTACACTATATAGTTAACAGATAAAAATGGAACCCAAGCACTGAACTACAAACGGTCTACACACTTAAATAAAACTAGCTACAGGTATGAGTTTATTTTACTTCTGTTTTGAATTGTTAAATAAAGTTGATAATTATTTAACGAGGGGAGGAAGGCCAGCCACAACAACTTCTCATCCGAGCCACAATCTCCCCATTTTCTCGTTAGAGCCACCTAAGAATCTTCGTCCTTCGATTATTATGTGTCAAATTCTCGAAGATAAAACTCTATTTTAAAAATCTGACCACGTAGGGCATAAAATATGGATGGACTGAATTGCAATGATTACATCATGTTGGAATCTTTAAACCCATGAGAATGATGTCAAACTTTATTTGGGTAAAACTTAAATCTTTTCAACCTCCGTAATGGCTAACCTTCTCGATATAAAAACAAATCGAAAAATATTTCGCACAACTCTGCATATAATTTTCCCCATGGAACCACCTGCAGGAAAATTTCTATGGTTTTCACTATAATTAACAAAAAAAATAAAGTTCTATTATTTGCGGAATTCTTCACCAGGAATATTTGAAAATGCGCGTAAAAAGGCGAACATTTTTAAAAACATTAAATTGGAAAACTTGAATTCAAACTGAAACTTTTTTCCGATTTACAAAAATTCAATATTTCATTAATGCGTGGCCCGATTCTTTAAAAATAGTTTTATTTGGGAGGATTAGACAGTTTAAAAGAATAAAATTGAAAGGACGAGGATTTCGAGGTAGATCGGACGAGAAAATAAGGAGAATGTCAGTGGCTCGGACGAAAAAATATTTTTGTTGGCCTTTCACCCCTCGTGTAACATACAGTTGATAACTGTATAACATACAGTTGATAACTGTATAACATACAGTTGATAACTGTATCACATACAGTTGATAACTGTATCACATACAGTTGATAACTGTATAACATACAGTTGATAACTGTATAACATACAGTTGATAACTGTATAGCATACAGTTGATTATAACAAAACTGTAAAAAATCGACTAAAACTGTAAAATCAACTTAAATTATATTTTTATGATGATTATCTATTAAACCATAAAATAATTCTGTAATCTTAGAATATGGGAGAGATGGAGGAGAAAGGAGAAGATGGAGATGTAGGAAACGGAGATACAGGTATAGGAGGTAGTGACGGGACATAACTTAGCTTTTAAAAACTATTAAGGTTTTCCAAACTTTTATATGCAAAAAACGAACCAAAACAACAGTTTTTCCATATATTTTAGTTTAGTAACATCAAAATTTTACATATAGGGTGTCCCCCTGAAACATGACATTAGCAAGACGACGTAAAAGTCGTCTTTAAACTTTGAAATAATTTGCTTTTTTTTTATTCTTAATCCCAATATTAGAAATAAAATTCTAGAGCTAATAATCATAAGCAACCCATGGTATTGAAATTTCCAAAATGTGGTCCGCCTTTTTTGTGCTTTCAATATTACCCGTTTAATGAAAAATTTCATTATAATTTCGCTAACTTTGATCTTTTTTAATAAAAAATTATATCTGAACGAAATTTTTTATATCTCTGTTAATATTGACAGCACAAAAAAGGCGGACCAGATTTTGGAAATCCCAGGCCTATACGAATTTTTTGGTTATTGTTTTAAGTATCATAGAGTGGTAGCCGATTATAGAAATATTATGAAGACGACTTTTTATTTAAATTTTAATTGTTAACAATCTTTTTATCGAATTACAAATGTACAAGTACTTAAAGATTGTTTATGTACAGGTTAATATGCACAGGTTAATGTGCAGGTTTATGTTCAGGAGATGCAGAACAGTTTGTATGTGCAGGTTTATGTTCAGGAGATGCAGAACAGTTTGTATGTGCAGGTTAATAATAATAATAATAATAATAACAAAACTGAAAAGTAATAAAAATGCTTAGTTGTTCTAGAAACAGTAATGCTGATTAGCAGTGATAATGATAAAAAAAATGATGAAATTAAGATTAATGAAAAAAATGATAATTATGATAATGATAATACAATTAATGATATTAATAATATTAACTGTACAAGTTGCTATGTTACGTAGCTCATTATATTTACTAAAGAAAAATATTTTTCATATACATAAAAGATTGTGATTATTATAGTAACAATTTTTGTTAAATTAAATAACCTTACGAAAATAAGAATATTTAGATTTAAAAAATAATATTAATCAATACTGCTACTGATATCAATAATATGTTAATAATAATATAAATACAATAACGATAATAATAATAATACTAATTAGAGATCACCAGAAACAGCACTGGAAAAGACATAAATCCTCCTGCTGTGCTTACAAGGTAAATAAATCAAAACTTTTAACAAATTAGAAAAAACGAATTTAAACATTTTTCCTTTAGATTTGTATGTCCCCTGAGTTAGGGAGATACTTAGTTGCAACCCGAGATCTTAAACCAGGAGAGATGGTCATATCAGAGACACCACTAGGCAACCAAACGAAATATATAACAACATAAAGGGATAGTTCACTAAAATCTATATATTTCAACATAAAGGGATAGTTCACTAAAATCTATATATTTCAACATAAAGGGATAGTTCACTACAATCTAAATATTGCCACATGAAGGGATAGTTCAATAAACTCTACATATTTCAATATAAAGGGATAGTTCACTAAAATCTAAGTATTTCCACATGAGGGGATAGTTCAATAAAATCTAATTAGTTTAACATAAAGGGATAGTTCACTTAAATCTAAATATTTCTACATAAAGGGATAGTTCACTAAAATCTAAATATTTCCACATGAAGGGATAGTTCACTAAAATCTATATATTTCAAAATAAAGGGATAGTTCACTAAAATCTATATATTTCAATATAAAGGGATAGTTCAATAAAATCTAAATATTTCCACATGAAGGGATAGTTCACTAAAATCTATATATTTCCACATGAAGGGATAGTTCACTAAAATCTATATATTTCAACATAAAGGGATAGTTCACTAAAATCTAAATATTTCCACATGAAGGGATAGTTCAATAAACTCTATATATTTCAATATAAAGGGATAGTTCACTAAAATCTAAATATTTCAATATAAAGGGATAGTTCACTAAAATCTAAATATTTCCACATGAGGGGATAGTTCTATAAAATCTAATTAGTTTAACATAAAGGGATAGTTCACTAAAATCTAAATATTTCTACATGAAGGGATAGTTCACTAAAATCTAAATATTTCCACATGAAGAGATAGTTCACTAAAATCTAGATATTTCAATATAAAGGGATAGTTCACTTAAATCTAATATTTCAACATAAAGGGATAGTTCACTAAAAACGAATTAGTTCAACATAAAGGGATAGTTTAACTTAAATCTGAATATCTCAATATAAATAAATTTTTTACTAAAATCTAAATATTTCAACCTAAAACATAAAGGGATTGTGCGATATACCTTTTTATTTTTGTTAACGTCATTACTAAATCTATGTGACCATTTTTGGTTTTGTTTTGGTTAGTGTTGGGACCAATGGCTGTGACTGTTCCTGTGTGTTTAGCCTGCTATAAACCTGCTGATGGGAAGTTTAGCTGTCTCAAGGTAATATTTTTAAATATGTATAACTAGATATGCCTAGTGTTTTCAATAGCAAAGATCATTTTGATTATTTAAAAATATTATCTATTTTAGTGCGGTTGGCCAATGTGTAATCCTGGTTGTGCTAAATCCCCAGTAAGAATAATTTTATAATTATAAGCAAAATGTTTTTGAAAAATCAAAATAAATTAAAAGATATTCGAAATTGAAGTTTTTTGGTGGACACTTTTGTTTAAAGGAACTGTAAGCATAATTTCAAACGATGACGATGCCCGATTTACAACGATACCCTTGAAAGTTATGTATGCAGATCAAGTATGAATTAGATATCAATAGTTTTGTTTCTTTAAGCTGTTTAATTTTAACGGAGAAACTCACAGAAATAGACCCTTTTCGAGTCTTTTGCATGGAGACTTGAAATTACTCTGACAGTCCCTTTAATTTTATCCCATGAGGTCGGTCATTGGGTTATTTTATTTTAAAGCAAAATATTCTGTACATGAACGAAGTACCTTCCGAATACCATTACGGTCCATGAAACCTTCCTAATACCATTACGGTACATGAAACCTTCCTAATACCATTACGGTACATGAAACCTTCCAAATACCATCACGGTACATGAAACCTTCCGAATACCATTACGGTCCATGAAACCTTCCAAATACATTACGGTACATGAAACCTTCCTAATACCATTACGGTCCATGAAACCTTCCGAATACCATTACGGTCCATGAAACCTTTTGAATACCATTACGGTACATGACACCTTCCGAATACCATTACGGTCCATGAAACCTTCTGAATACCATTACGGTACATGAAACCTTCCTAATACCATTACGGTCCATGAAACCTTCCGAATACCATTACGGTACATGAAACCTTCCGAATACCATTACTGTACATGAAACCTTTCAAATACCATTTCAGTTTATGAAACCTTCCGAATACCATTACAGCACATGAAACCTTCCAATTATTCCTTTACAGTACATGAAACCCTCCGAATACACAACTCAACTCTATACTATTAGGTACATGTACACTGGCACACCTCTATACTACAAGGTACATGTAATCACAACTCTATACTACTAATACATGTAGACTGTAGAGTGTACACATCTTTGCTACTAGGTACATGTACACCTCTATACTAGTAGGTACATGTATTGTACATACACCTACATACAACTAGGTACATGTACACCTCTATATGTACTGCTAGGTACATGAGCCTGAGTGTACTCTGACCGCTAGTCGAGGTAGCCCACTACAGATGCCATCTAACTGTTATAATAAACCCTATCCTATATATGAGGTAAGGTTTTTTATCTTCATTCAAAAACTTTCTTTCATCTTTCACAAAAATTTCAAACTTAAAACTTTTTTATTTCAGTTTATTTCGAACTGAAATTGCGTTTTAAAAACTTTATTTTACTAAAAACGTTCACATTCCGACGCAAACATTTACAAGGACTATTAAAACTGAAGCTAGAAACACACCATGGCTTAAAAAAGGTATTGAGAGTCGGAACTGTCCTTTTTAGTAAAAGACCTGACTACACTTTCTCAGTTATGAAATTTATTGTTGCTTTTTCAGTGCCTTAAAACAAAAGCATTATATTTTTTACAAGGTTGTGACCATTTTACGGAGTTTGTATCTCAAGCAGTCCTCGCCCAGTAAATGGAAGAAATTTAAAGAACTAGAAGCTCATGAAGAGGGAAGAAGAAGAAATGGAAGGTAATACAGGGTTACCTGCAGCAAAGGATGAGGCAGTAAAGACGATCCGAAACTCGTTTATAATGACGATTAGATTAAGTTTGTTGCCTTACATATATATCATCTTTTAATGGCTTAGTCGTCAACAAATAATCTTAATTTAAAGGAATTGAGTTTTGCCACAACTAAAATCTTCTGATTCCAATATCTTTTCACCCTTATGGTGCAAACCTTTGATATTTCAAACTTAGATTATTTTATCTATAAGTATTAATAGTTTGAAATATCTAAGGTCTACGGCATTGGGTTACAAAGATATAGAGATTAGAAAATCAGAGTGTGTGGCAAAAACTCAACTCCTTTATTCAGAATTCCAAAGAACTCCAATATGTACAAAAAGAGAATATTAAAATTCTAACTGTATTTATATATATAGTTGAACATATTTTTGAACTTCATCTTTTATTTTAAACTGACGGAGTTATGCCATATTGCCTGGGTTTATCTAAACATTAAAATCCATTATCTCTTACGCTAATAAATCACTAAAAAGCAGACTTTTCTTGGAAAGATTTGGAGGGTTTTGATAGTATTTTTAAGTACTATAATAATATAAGTGTCAAAATGACTGGTAACCACTTTGAGTTTTTATTTTTTTAATTTTTAAGCAAATTTTTAAATTACTGAGAAGAAATTTAAAACAGGTGGTTCTTTTTAAGGACTCTTCAATAAGAGGGGTTATTATTGAAAACATTTGAGAAATTTAGATTAATTTGACGTGGGCATATGAATCTCATTTTAAAGATAATACCCGCAAAGGATGAGACTGTAAAGAGGCTGGGACTCATAAAATATGACAATTTCAAGATTAAATTTAGTCTACTACGTTAAATAAAGTTTATAAAGAGTTTTTAAAGAAAGAAACAAGTTTACAGAATTGTAAATATTAAGAAACAAACAGATATACATTTCGTGCAGTAGTCTCTGAATTATCATTCTTTATGGGTAACCCTTAATATCAATATCCAGAAAACATAAAAGAGATTTAATATTGACACAAGCAAATACTTCTGCAAATTTTTGTAAATGTTTAGATATGATAAAGATTTGAGTACGATGGTTCGAGTTATCAGAGAGTTCTTAAGAATACCAGAAACTGTCTTCACGCAGCAGGGAATAGTTTGAAATAATTTTTGCTTTAGATATTTTTTGCAATCCCATCGGCAAACTATGATCATTTAGATAAAAAATATTTTCTTAAACAGTGGTATGCGATTATGTCAATACTATGAAGACGACTTTTTTATTTAGGTTTGGTTGTTAAAAAGTTTTTTTTTCGAATTTCAAGTTTACAAGTAATTAAAGAGAAGCTTTTTTTTTATTGACAGCTTCTCTTGACTTCTATTTTTAACAGCTTAAAATAAATCAGAATTGAAATCAAAAGTCGTCTTCGTTGTATTTGTAAAATCGCCTGCCACTGTATGTAAAGCAATAAAAATAAAAATAAACATTTTTCGATCTATTACAAACAAAGATGTTCTGAAAATTCAGGAAATACTGGATGTCTGTGGGGTGCTAACAGTAAACGCACATGAACTACCAATAACAACTGTTCCTGTGCAAGCCCTCTACGCTAATATATCCTTACTAGGTAACAAAGAAAAAAATCCATCTGAAAAAACGTATTTAATTTAAAAGAGCATGTATCCTTTTATTCAGAAACTAATAAACTAAATATTTTGATACTATTTTACTAATCATATATATATATATAGACACTGATTACTTCATTAATATTTAGATTTATTACTTAATCGATATTTATTTACTAAATACCATAGATTAATTAATCTATGCTAATACGTTGATATTAAAATGCAAGCAACTTAATTATATTTCACTTCTAACTATCTTTATAGTGATACTATTTATGTATAAATTAATAGTTTGATTATTTGTGTTTAATAAACACCAACACAGCTGAATCCATCCATGACAACTCACATGACCCCAAATGATATTTATATACTTGTAAGCAACCCCTATACTGCAGATATTGATATTGGCATGTAGAAACAATAACCTAAATATCTATAAATGAACAATAATAAATATTTCTAGAAGAAAAAAGATTACTAGATATTGACAACTTCATTATTGAGATACAAAGCTTCAAGATTTTAGCTTTTAAATGCTAACTATGTTAACTAATCTTAATAATATTTTCTTTATTTTAGAACATTCTTGTATAAACAACGCCAGCAAACATTTCGATGGAGATTTTCGAGTTGTAGTTCGAGCAGCTGTTAATATTAAGAAGGGAGAACACATTTCCATTAACTACAGTGATCCAATGTGGGGGACAGCAAGCAGACAGCTGCATCTAGGTAGGATACAGCTGGCAGACAGTTGCATCTAGGTAGGATACAGCTAGCAGACAGCTGCATCTAGGTAGGATACAGCTAGCAGACAGCTGCATCTAGGTAGGATACAACTAGCAGACAGCTGCATCTAGAAAGGATACAGCTAGCAGACAGCTGCATCTAGGTAGGATACAGCTATAGCAGACAGCTGCATCTAGGTAGGATACAGCTAGCAGACAGCTGCATCTAGGTAGGATACAGCTCTAGCAGACAGCTGCGTCTAGGTAGGATATAGTTAGCAGACAGATGCATTTAGGTAGGATACAGGCTACAGCTAGCAGATAGATGCATCTAGGTGGGATACAGCTAGCAGACAGCTGCATCTAGGTAGGATATAGCAAGTAGGCAGCTGCATCTAGGTAGGATCAGCTAGCAGGCGGCTGCATCCAGGTAGGATACAGCTAGCAGACAGCTGCATCTAGGTAGGATTCAGCTAGCAGACAGCTGCATCTATATAGGATATAGCTAGCAGACAGCTGCATCTAGGTAGGATTCAGCTAGCAGACAGCTGCATCTATATAGGATATAGCTAGCAGACAGATGCATTTAGGCAGGATACAGCTCTAGCAGACAGGAGCATCGATGTAGGATACAGCTAGCAGACAGCTGCATCTAGGTAGGATATAGCTAGTAGACAGCAGCATCTAGGTAGGATACAGCCAGTATACAGCTGCATCTAGGTAGAATACAGCCAGTATACAGCTGCATCCAGGTAGAATACAGCCAGTATACAGCTGCATCTAGGTAGGATACAGATAGTATACAGAAGCATCAAGGTATCGGATACATCTAGTAAATAGCAGCATCGAGGTAGGATACAGCTATTTTTAGTTAGGATCTTGATACAGCTAGTAGACAGCAATATCTAGATAGGATACAGCTAGTATACTTTAGTACCGTCTGAGCTTTAACGTTAGATTGTGCCTGCAGCAAATATTATTAAATATTTAATATATCCAAAATGATTATATATTTTCCCCAGTCAAATATAAAAAATTCTCATATTTAAAGGGAGAGACCGGTTATGTAACATATTTGAGCTGCAAGTGCAGTATTGTATAGAAAACTTTAGGATTCATTTGATACCAATGAGACAATTTTACGGTGTACACTTTTTGAATGAGTGTAAAGTCGTTTGCAATATTTCACCAGTTGTTTCAGCCAGAAGAAACGTTATTATAATTATATTTAATAACCCGGACAAAACATCTAAAAATTAAAATTTTCAAACTAATACATATTTCTTAAAAAAAATTATTGATGGCAACAATAGTAGAACCGTAGAATCGATAATTCCATTATTGCCATTACCTTTGGGGTTTCTATAAATTTTTTCACAGATTTCTTCACAATTAAAATAAAAAAACAAAGAATTTGCATAAATCTGCGAGATTTTAAAGCGAATTTAATAACTTATTTCCAATGATAGATCTAGTTCATTGTTTTTCTCAGCTCAACCTATTCCTATATATGCAACTAGTTTGTAGAATAGTATTTGTTACACGTTTTCTCCATCGTATTTAAGAATTGTAAGCATTCGTTTCTTCTCCTGCTGGCTGAAACAACTGGAGAAAAATTGCACTCTCAGTTAAAATATGATACATAGCCGGTCTCTCCTATTAAAGCAAATAATTATGTTTAACTTTTCAGCGGAGACCAAATATTTTAACTGTCAATGTGTTCGCTGTCAAGATCCTACGGAAATGGGTACAATGTTTAGTTCCATTAGATGCCCTCAGTGTACTGTGGAACAGGTGTGTTTAGGCTTAACAAAGGTTATAATGCAAGGAAAGTTAATTGCAGTTGCCTATACTCTGCGTACATATTGAAACCAGTTCTCTCTGGGCGGAATTTGTAAACAAAAATAGATGCATCAGTGTTTGTTTAGTATCCATGGAGGATAAAAGCATTTAATTTTGATGTTTTTTATAATTCACATAATAGATCCTTTGACCAGAATATTTCATTGATTTTTTTTGTGAAAGATGGATCCCATGTCAGGCTTCGACATCCTTCTTGTGTTTACATTACCGCCTAGGGACAGTACACTGTAGTACAAAAGATGCGTCCACCTCTGAAAAAACTTTCCTTGCACTATAACCTTGGGCTTAACAAAAAAAATGTAAAATAATTCGTCCACAAATATGTTTTGTTAAAGTACCGTACCAAGTTAAAGGCAGCCGAGAGCAACAAGTACAGTTTACATACTTAGAATATATAGCAGTAAAACGGGACGGTAAACCAAATGAATTCTACTTTTCCTAAACCACCCATGCTATCGCATGTGCTTTGAAAAGCACAAACAAATCCTCTAACTTACTTACACTGCACTACCATGTGATAATTTCAAAATTTGGCAAATTGCAGAAAAACAGTTATACAGGGTGCAAATGTATAGTAATACTATTGGTATACAGTACAGGGTGTATACGATATTTGTGTACATTACATGGTGTATGCAATATTGGTGTACAGGGTGTATATATATAATATTTATGTACAGTACAGGGTGTATATATATAATATTTGTGTACATTACAGGGTGTATATAAATATATATATAATATTTGTGTACAGTACAGGGTATATATAAATATATAATATTGGTGTACAGTACAGGGTGTATATATATATATAATATTTGTGTACATTGCAGGGTGTATATATATATATATAATATTGGTGTACAGTACAGGGTGTATTATATATAATATTTGTGTACAGTACAGGGTGTATATATATAATATTAGTGTACAGTACAGGGTGTATATATATATATAATATTGGTGTACAGTACAGGGTGTATGTATATAATATTGGTGTACAGTATACAGGGTGTATACGATATTTGTGTACATTACAGGGTGTATAAAATATTCCTGTACAGGGCGTATAAAATATTCCTGTACTGGGTGTATAATATATTTCTATACAGGGTGGATATCTAGTATCTGAGAACCCTACAGGGGGACCAGCAAACTGGACCTGTATTGCCTGTACTAAAGTACAACCTCATTCTTTTGTGGATGCTGTCACTCAAGTAAGTTATTTAAAAATAATTAATTAATTAATTAATTATTTATTCATTTTACTTTAATTTAATCAAAGCAAACTCCTTAGCGTAATAATTAAGCAACTTTCTTACTAAATTTAAACAATTTTTTGAAAAAAATATTTTTAGATAAATAACATTTTGCGCCAGAGCAAAGTTTGGAATTATAATAATCCAATAGTTAACTTTTTTCATCTTAGAATATAGCCCATATAATTACCAAGTGAATTCAAATTAAACCTTTCTTCATTTAGATATTCTTAAACAAGCATTTAAGAATTTATTTCATTTCAAAGAGAAAAAAATAACTTTTTTTGTTTACTTTTCTGGAACACGTTGTATTCAAGAAAATTAAAAGAATGAACCAGCCCCGCAATTTAATTATGATCCATGCATTGGTTTTCTGTTTAAAAATTGAAAACTTGAGATCTCCACTTGCAATGATATCAACTGCTGTTATCTACATCAAGCGAGCACGAAAACGAACGAAAATTCTTTATTTTCAGAAGAAATGGTTTATTGTTAAAGATTAAAATGTTACTGTTTCGAAATCGTTCATAGCCGGCAAAATTAATCAAACTCAAATTATTCTACAACTTAAAGAATGCAAATGAAGAACATTTTTGAATTAAACCAATTCATATTTTTATTATAAAATATAGTATAATTATTTTAACACCAGAAAACTGTGAAATGAATGTCATCTTTGTTTCTTTTTTGTTGCAACTGATGTACGTAGTAGTAGTACGGACATCGTAAAACATCTGAAATCACATTTTTATAAATTGCTCAGTTCACCCTGGACTAACCAGGGTGAGATGCGTTCGGTTTCTTCTATTTGAATTAATCTTGCTTTGGTCTATAATTTAACAATTTTAATCCACAGACCTTTTCTTAAGTATAAGTTTATTGCAATCAAAAGTCACATCTTGCGGGGGGCTAAGGATCGAATTGTTTAACCCTAGTAATTAGCAAATTTAAAATCAATGGCGACTGTATTTTTCAAAATTGAGAAAGAATACGATGAGAATTCCACAATTTTCTGGTCACCACTGTATGCATATTACTATAGTTTACTATTTAGTCAATAGGAGAGGAGCTGGTTATGCTTGAGAAAGGAAATATCGAAGCTTGCCAGGCATTTATTAAGAAGCATTCACAGAACCTACATCCTAACCACTACTATCTCCAGGTATATTATTATACACAGAACCTATATCTTAACCACTACTATCTCCAGGTATATTATTATACACAGAACCTACATCCTAACCGCTACTATCTCCAGGTATATTATCATACACTGCAGAACCTACATCCTAACCGCTACTATCTCCAGGTATATTATCATACACTGCAGAACCTACATCCTTACCACTACTATCTCCAGGTATATTATTATACACAAAACCTACATCCTAACCACTCTATCTCGAGGTATATTATCATATACAGAACCTATATCCTAACCACTACTATCTCCAGGTATGTTATTATACACAGAACCTACATCCTAATCACTACTATCTCCAGGTTTATTATTATACACAGAACCTATATCCTAACCACTTCTATCTCCAGGTATATTATTATACACAGAACCTACATCCTAACCATTACTATATCGAGGTATATTATCATACACAGAACCTACATCCTAACCACTACTATCTCCAGGTATATTATCATACACAGAACCTACATCCTTACCACTCTATCTCGAGGTATATTATCATATACAGAACCTATATCCTAACCACTACTATCTCCAGATATGTTATTATACACAGAACCTACATCCTAACCACTACTATCTCCAGGTATATTATCATACACAGAACCTACATCCTTACCACTACTATCTCCAGGTATATTATTATACACAGAACCTACATCCTAACCATTACTATATCGAGGTATATTATCATACACAGAACCTACATCCTTACCACTACTATCTCCAGGTATATTATTATACACAGAACCTACATCCTAACCACTACTATCTCCAGGTATATTATTATACACAGAACCTACATCCTAACCACTACTATCTCCAGGTATATAATCATACACAGAACCTACATCCTAACCATTACTATATCGAAGTATATTATCATATACAGAACCTACATCCTAACCACTACTATCTCCAGGTATATTATAATACACAGAACCTACATCCTAACCACTACTTTCTCCAGGTATATTATCATACACAGAACCTACATACTAACCACTACTATCTCCAGGTATGTTATTATACACAGAACCTACATCCTAACCACTACTATCTCCAGGCATATTATTATACACAGAACCTATATCCTAACCACTTCTACCTCCAGGTATATTATTATACACAGAACCTACATCCTAACCACTACTATCTCCAGGCATATTATCATACACAGAACCTATATACTAACCACTACTATCTCCAGGTATATTATCATACACAGAACCTACATCCTAACCACTACTATCTCCAGGTGTAGGGTTACCCACAAAAGAAAAAACCTTAAGACGACCTGAAATGTGTTCTATAATAAACATGACAATCAAGAGACGAGTGATGGTCGTTCAACTACATTAAAAATCATAAATCTGGAATAAAATGATGGCATACTTGTATTTGATGCTATTGCTGTTACAAAGCAAATAGTTTCACCAGTAACTTATAAAATCACTTATTCAATAGAATGGGTCTGTTTACCCATGTTTAGTGCACTATTTAGAGTCATATACTTTGAGTCCAAATGCCATCTTTCTATTCCAAGGTTTTCTGGTTCTTATCTTATTGTATAATTATCTCGCTTATTCATAAAATGGAGTCCCATGCTTTATAAGAGAATATATTTAGGATATAAAGCTAGCACTCTGTCAGATGATTGGACAATCAGCTACTGGTCAAGGACATGAAGTCTTTAATCTTTCAGAAAAAGAACTTGTTTACAAACAAAAGGTAAACTTAAAGGTTTTAGAGAAAACAAAGAGAAATTAGGAATAGAATAATTGTTTTTTTAATTGCTAATTTTTTAAAAAGATATATAATTTTTAAAGAATTAAATAATGTGTTGGTACAGTGGTCGGCGTTTATATCTAAACAATGAGGACGAATTTTCTATTTAAGGTTTGATTTCTTGCAAGTTTTTTTAATAACAAGTTTACAAGCAAGCTAGGAGAAGCTGTTAATTGTCAGCATCTCTTTGTTTCCCTGTTTACGTGTAAGCATTAGAATGTTTTAAAGCTTGGTAGAAATCAAAGTTTAATTTATTAATGCACAATTAAAAGGAAAATAAAATAATAATTATTTGTCACTATGTGTTTAGATAGGACTTGAACTGCTCGAAGTAGCTAATAGAATATCTCCAGGAATATCAAGGCTCAGAGGGGTGATATTGTATGAACTTCAGGTACAGGGTTACCCAGAAACAATGAGTTTTTAGAGACGATTGTATGGAATTCATACTGTCTGTTCCCTTATATTTATTTATGATCTCCTGCAACCTTAAACTCATTTCGTTCTTTGTCAAATCATGAAATAAGCTATAAAAAGACTATATTTAAGGCAGCAAATTTAATGCCTGATAAAGTGCCAATCAGCTACGTTTTTTGAATCTCTCATGGCCTGAGATTATTATGGCTTCTAATCTAAATATTTAAATTAGCAATCTATGTTTTTTTTTTTGCTTTTTTGAATGTCCGATCATAACTCATGAAACCCTGACAAATTTGCCTCAAATTTTGATTCGGGAGAATGTTCTTAGCTGATTTTGAGATTCTAAGTTGAGTGGGTCGACTTGAAAAATGGCTAAACTCGTAATTTAAGACCAAGCGCGGGTAAACGGCGGAAGCAACCATGAGTAACCTAGGCAATGCACAAACTTTACTAACTTTACTACAATTTTTTTGTAAGGACATATCCTCATACGTTATTTTAAGTTACGCTGATGGCATACCTTACAGGTTCTTTAAATTCACAATCTGAAAATGTTCAGGCTACACTGGCTGCCTATGCACGAAGGAAGTTTTCAGCTGGAGAAATTTCCTCCGAGCACATGAGAAATATTATGAAGGTAAACTATGACCTCCGAAGGGTGGGGGGGGGGGGTGTTCCATTAAACATAGAGTGTATCTTTAACTAGGTTAAGAAGGTTACCTAGATACTAACTGAATAAAGAGTCTAAAAATTCATGGTTTTTTAAAAGGAAAATTTCTAAATATTTGACAAAACCCTCTTTATATTTTAATGAAAACCAATTAATATTTTAAGGAGGAAAAAACGATCATTAACGTTTCTAAAAAACGATCATTAATGTTTCTAAAAAACGATCATTAATGTTTCTAAAAAAGCGATCAAAAAAACTGATTTAAATTTTTTCCCTTAAAATTGGTTCTTGGTCACAATTTCACAAACTTTAAAAACGTCATGTAAGAAGAGATTCATAAATTTCTCTTGCTGCAGAATCTTTTTAAAAATAAAATCTTTTAAATTCAAATTTGCTTTTGGAAACATTTAATAACATGATGGTTTTTATCTTTATCATAGTTTTTCAAAGACCAAAACGAACAGTCCGTTGGTTTTAACCATTTCGTTTTTTTAAACCCGAAGGCTCGTTAGTTTTGAAAAATCAAAAACGAAACTAAACACGACCTTTTCCTTTCGTTTAACAATCCTAGATACATAATTAAATAATTTCTAATGGCATCTAAACCATATTTTTTACAGTGTTTGAGTTAATGTCCAAGAATTTTTTAAAACTACATTTTTGGTTTTCTTATTTGAATTTTTGTTTTGTTCAGGAGGTTAAGAAGTATCTTGTTGAATGCATCCAGATCTTTAGCTTTGAGCCTCCATGTCTTCAAGAGGGTCGCCTTGCAACCATTGCTAGACTTGATCTCCTAGAACTAGAAACCTTTCTAGACAGCCTACAGAACAAAGTCTAAATCTTAGTGTTACGAAATACACTTTTTAAAAATTTCGTAAATTTTGTTTTGTTCTACTGAACATATTTGTTGTTGGACTCCTGAAAAAGTTTAAAAGTAAGGAATGATTAATCTTTTAAATATCAAACTTATCACGTCGATATATGTAATGTCCATTGTCCAATGTGCACTCAAAACCCGAGAAGAAGAAGGAGAAGCAGAAATAAGTGAATTGAGCGTTTAAGCCCCATTTTCCAGTTCAGTTGATATTTTACAGCAATTTTTTTAATGACTGATACCTTTTACCTGGGGGATGGGGGGGGGGAGGGGGGGTTATGAAACAATTGAGTTCATGCCCAAACTCTGATTTTCTATTCTCAATGTCTTTGCGAACCTTTGATATTTTAAACATACAGTGGTAGGTGACTATCAATGAAGATCAATACAATGAAGACGACGACTACAATTACGAGTTTACAAGCTTTTTTGAATGTCAGCTTCTCTTGACTTCTATGTTTATGTGTATCTATAATTTGGTTCCAGAGATAAAGGAATACGAAAATCAAACTCGATTTCTTAATCTACATATATTATTTGGAAACAAGATCTTTTTTCAATGACATCCAAATTAAGTTAAATAGTTTTTCAAAAAAAGTTTAAAACGTTTGAAAAAAATAGAACTGATTACAGCTATATACATTCAGAATAATTTTGTCTCCAAATTCATTTTTTTGTTTTATGGCGATCACTTTTTTATTGTTTTAACGGCCGGCCTACACCCTAAAATTCAGAAAAATAAAAACCGGTTTCGTAACAACTTTGTTCGATCGTTGCATGAACAGTAATTAGGGTTTCCAGCGAACGAAAACTTTCGCGAAAAAATGCGATTTTTTTTATATTTCCTAAACTTTTTTTTGTGAAATCCCGCATTTTTCGCGAAAATAAATTAGGCAAAAGGAATTAAAAACGATGCGTTATTTTAAAAAAACTAAATATGCGCGAATTTAACGAAAAATTGGGAACATTTTCGCTTTTTTGCATTCACCTGTTTCGCACAAAAATGCAAATTTTTTTTGCAAAACCAAAAATGCGAAGTTTTCTGAAAAAAATTCGCAATTTTCCGTGAAATTTTTGCGTTTTTTTGTGAAACAGAACTAAGCGAAAATAGCGAAAATTTTCGGTTTTTTCTACAAACGGAATGCCAAAAAAAACAATACTTTCGGCGAAAAGAAAAATTTTCGCGAAACGATTTCGCCTTTTCGCTGGAAACCCTAACGGTTATTGCTCTAAAATTTTCGAAACTTAAACTATAATTTTTCAATTTTTTCTCCAAGTTAATTGGTTTATTTTTGAATTGTAGTTACTTCAATTGTAATTTTAGCTGCTAGAATAAACTTTTTCCTCTACTTTCTCCATATCAGATAGGCAATGCATAGTGAATAGTAAATACGATTTTGTTTATTAGAGACGTTTTATTTTGATTAGTACACTGCAGTAATTTCTAATGTTAGATTTAGAAAATAAAAATTTAAACTTTGTAATATTTTTACACCTAATTTAATTAAAATGTACATCTTAACCAAAAGTAGAAGTCTTTGTTTAGAATATTCCTTGAAAATGATTAGCTATATTTGTTTATAATTTTACTTACCTTTTCAAATCTGATGAGACATCCTAATCCAATAATTGTACATAATTTAATAGTAATGACAATACTAGATTCTTATTCAGTTTTATTTAAAATTTTACAATAATAATAAGATTTACAATAGCCTGGTACCCACACAAAGGACTTATTCTGACATGACGTTCTAAAACTCTAAAATTACAATACTCTAATGGCGAAATCCTTTGTTCGTCTATGAATATAGTTGCTAAATGATATAGCTCTGAAGTCTCATCCTTTGTGAATAACCCCTGTATCTATATTGTTAAAATGCTAGAGCAAAGATGAATTTACCATAGATTGAATGCTAGAACAAGGATGAATTTAATCTGGATTGAATGCTAGAACAAGGATGAATTTACCAATTTATCCTACAAAACCAAGGGTTGAAGGGGTAGAGATTAGAATCCGTTAATTAGCTTCCTCTTCTTGTTCTCTTGAAGTTTTATCATCTTCTTCATTTATTCTCTATGCATCCGGGTAGTCCAGGCTGGCCTGTGCCAGGATTATAGCTTCTCTTCTTGGTGTGAATATGGTGGGCTCCAATAAAGGTGAGGTTTTTCCAGTGATCCATAATCCTCCGATCCCGTCTCCGGTCCCTCTTTCTTCTATTGCAGGAAGGGGGGAAAAAGAAATGGGAGGGGGGAGGTAAGTTTTGCTATTCTGCATTCCATGTAGCCAAAACATCTTTCTTCATTATCCATTAATTATCTTCCATGAATTCCTTACTACTCCTCTTCTTTGTTTTGCCAAATATGATTATTTGCAAAATCTATGCTTCAGGTTTGAGTGTTTTACACTTCAGATTCTTTTTACAATTTTTAGATTAATTATAATACGTTCACTATCAATTATCTATAATGTGATCAGCAAAATATTAAAGTTTCTAATCTTTATTGAATTGAAGTTTGAGTCTTGTACTCATTTATCATTCCTCAAATGATGGTCTTTATTCTGTTCTTCCTTAGAACATAGTATAGATCCGTCTCTGTTTGCAAACTTGCTAAATCTTCAAGAGAACTAAGAGTATCAAATAATAAGAATTTTTTTAAATATAAATGTAGATCTGTCGAATTTATTTAATACTTCTGTATGTCTATTATTTGACATATACAGAGTATAAATGTTTGCACTTGGGGTTATACATCTGTGTTTTGATCTTCCACTTTGTAGATTACACATCTGTTTCCTGGGTTCCTTATGGTTTCTCATACTCTATGGTAGGTTCTACATTCTCCAACTCATCCGTTGAATAACAGTTTATCCAGCTCGGTATCTGATGCATGCACAAAATTGTTTCTTTTAATGATGTTGCAATATTTATTGCAATATTATTATCATAACATCCCCCAAACAATTCGTGCAATGCATTGCAGAAGTTTTAAAACAATTAATCCGATTCAAAATTAATTATTAATCCATTAGAGTTGAATGTTGAAGTTAATCAGATATATAAAAATATCTCTAGATTAATTTATATAGAATATATTTCAGTAGTAAACAGTAATCAGATATATAAAAATAAATCAAGATTATAGTTCTTCGTATTTTCGAGTTATTATAAGCTGAGTCGTCATGCCGCGTTTTCTCCAAGCTGTAAGTCCGTTTCGTTGACTGCGCCACTTTGTAACATTTAATCCTTTGATATCGTTACAATCCCAGACATAAATCCTAGGGAAATCAAGATCAATCCTTGTCCCTCATCTTTGAAGGTTAATACAAGACTTCACTTTCATTCCCAGTACCAATTCATAATTTACCCAAACCTCTCATCTTGTTTATAATATCTATCTCTCAAGGTCTTGAATAAGTGGGTTTATCAATATACATTTTATTGGTACAAATATATCTGTTAATATCTGTTTATATTAAATCATATTCCATATATCTGTAGAGCGGTAAAACCAGTCTCCACTAGCTCTTATATAGGAAGAGTCCCTCAGCGGGAAAGCAAGCCTCCACTAACTCTTATATGAGGAAGAGGCCCTCAGCGGTAAAGCAAGCCTCTACTAACTCAGGAAGAGTCCCTTAGCGGTTAAGCAAGTCTCCACTAAGTCTTATATATGAAGAGTCCCTCAGCGGTTAAGCAAGTCTCCACTAACTCTTATATATGAAGAGTCCCTCAGCGGTTAAGCAAGTCTCCACTAACTCTTATATATGAAGAGTCCCTCAGCGGTGAATCAAGTCTCCACTAACTCTTATATATGAAGAGTCCCTCAGCGGTTAAACAAGTCTCCACTAACTCCTATATAGGAAGAGTCCCTCAGCGGTAAGCCAAGTCTCCACTAGCTCTTATATATGAAGAGTCCCTCAGCGGTAAGACAAGTCTCCACTAGCTCTTATATAGGAAGAGTCCCTCAGTGGTAAAGCAAGTCTCCACTAACTCCTACATAGAAAGAGTCCCTCAGTAGTTCATCTGAGCCTCTGTTCCCTGCTGGGCTAGATGTGGTGTCAGCTAATCCTTCTATAGATAATATAACTGGTGATCTCCGGATCAATCCTAGCTATATATCAATCTGCTACAGACCTATGATCTTCTCCTGTGATACTTGTAACTGGTGATTTATGATCATCCTATTTCTCTGTCAATCTGCTGTAGATCTATGATCTCATACTTGCAGTTCTCCTGTGGTTCATAAAGCTGGTGATCCATCCTAGCTCTCTATCAATCTGCTCTGGATCTCTAGTCTCCACAGTATCTGCAACTTCCACAGTATCAGCAATACTTCCATATCTGCAGTGTCCACAATATTTGCAGTATCCTCAATATCCGCAGTATCCACAGTATCTGCAGCATCCCTAATATCTACAGTATCCACAGCATCTGCAATATCCTCCATATATGCAGTATCCTCCATATCTGCAGTATCCTTCATATCTGCAGTGTCCACAATATCTGCAGTATCCCCAATATCTGCAGTATCCACAGTATCTACAATATATGCAGTATCCACATTATCTGTAGTCTGCTCTGCATCTCTTTTGATCTGCTCTTTATCTCCGTGATATGTAGTCTGATCTGCATCTCTACAGTATGCTGTATATCTCGGTTGATCTTCCATCAACTTGATATCTCCTTGATCTGTAGGATGCTCTGCATCTCAGTTGATCTCCCATCTACTTGATATCTCCTTGATCTGTAGGATGCTCCACATCTCGGTTGATCTCCCATCTAATTGATATCTCCTTGATCTGTAGGATGCTCTGCATCTCGGTTGATCTCCCATCTAATTGATATCTCCTTGTTCTGTAGGATGCTCTGCATCTCGGTTGATCTCCCATATAATTGATATCTCCTTGTTCTGTAGGATGCTCTGCATCTCTAAAACGATCGTTATTTTTTAACGATCGTTTATTTAAAAACAATCGTATAAAAAACGGTCACTTATCGTTTTTCTGAAAATGATCGTTTTCAAAAACGATTGTTCTTCGTTTTCTAACAGTTCAAAACGAGTGGGTTGTTTTAAAAACGATCGTTTTTTTGAGAAAACGAAACGATCGTTTTTAAAAATGATCGTTTAACGAAGCAAAAAACGATCGTTAAACGATCGTTTTCAAAAACGATTACCAACCCTAAGTCTACGACTAGCAATAATAGAAACATTCCGGGACCAGGGCAGGATGTTCTACAGTGAGGAGGAACACCAGCTCAAACAGGAACTGGCACTTGTCACAAACATTTCCCTTATCCTGGAGCAGCGGTTGGAGCTGCTACAGTTCCTTGCCATGAGAGTTGAGCTTGGATCCGAATATTAATCTCCTGAAATGAATAATACTTTATTAATAAATTTAGATCAATAAATATGAACTAAGAGAGTTAATTATTGTGTTAGAAATTCTGCTGTAGACCGAAGCAAACTCGGGGTTTACAACAGTAGGTAGTTGAACCAGCTGTATAGAGGTGGAACCACATCTCTCTGATTCTATTGTAAACCTGAGATATCTATCTCATCAATGGTTTATTCCTCTGATCTGTTGTAACCTGAGATATCTGTCTCATCAATGGTTTATTCCTCTGATCTGTTGTAACCTGAGATATCTGTCTCATCAATGGTTTATTGTATTCCTGAAGATGTGATCATGTAAGATATAATTATGTAAGTCCACATGCTGTAAGCCTTCTGAGAGCTGTCCATGAAGTGCCTGTCCCCTAGGCTTTGGTTGAACAAACGGAGCTTGGGCTCATATGTCTGTTCGGTTCAAAGGTCTAGGGTGCACTGTTGAATCTTAATGAATCAGGTTAACTACTCCGCATTCATTAAAAGAAACAAATAGATAAAGGTGTGAGGCTGGGGGAGGGTTTTAGCATGAGTCTCCTATACTTTAAATATTACACCTCCATTCATGTCATTTTTTTGGTGTAGATTGATTCTTATTAAGAAAACTTTTTGTCCATGCAAAGTTGAGTTTTCCAAGCAAGTATTTTATATGATAAAAAAATAAAAAATATTCTCCAAAATTATGATTTTCTTTTTGTCATGTATGGAATGCAAATTTAATTTTTTTAAATTTTGAATTTTTTGGAAGTCTAATAATTTGTAGACATTTGATAGATGCGACATTTGACATTTGATCAAAAGCAAAAACAATTTCTAAAAATTATAGCTTTCTTTATTGGAATGCAAATTTAATTAAAAATCAATTTAACATTTTTTTGTACATTTCATAGTTTCTTGGACATTCGAAAAATGCGACTTATGACATTTCCGACATTTTTATTGAGGAGACCTTTGAAAAGTAAAACAATTAACAGATATGACATTTGACATAAAAAATTATCTCCAAATTTATGATTTTCTTCATGTATGGAATGCAATTAAATTTTTTGAATTCCGAATTTTTCGGAAGTTTAATAATTTGTAAGACATTTGATAGATGCGACATTTGATATATGCAACATTTGACATTCACAGATGCGACTCATAATATTTGCGACATTCTTATTGAAAAGACATTTACAAAAATAAAAAAATAGAAATACTTCAATAACACACTTTTATTTCTAATCCATTCTTCTTAAATGCAATTATTTTTATTTCTCTTTTAACTCAACCCATACTTCACTTTTTTTAATCCGTCCCTCTCTTGAAACTCAACCCGAACTATTTCTAATCTTTTGAAAGCATTCTTATTTTACCCAATCCATTCGTAATTCTCTTGTCTTTCCGTCCTTTTTTAAACTTATAGTAAATTCAACCCCCTTTTCTCCTTTTAATCCGTTCTTCCTTCTCTTTATAATCTGTCTATATCATTTTAAACATTTCCAGTCTTTAAACTTAACCCATTATCTGTTTTTTAATCCAACCCATCTTTCAATTAAACCGTCAATTCATTCCCCTTTTCTTATGTAATCCGTCCTTTTCTATAAAGTTATAGACCTTTCCTATTTTAAATTTGTCCCTGTCTTCTCTTTTAAAGCTCTCCTTTTCTATCCGTCGGTGTCTAAACCATTCATCGCTTTTAATCCGTCCTTAGTCTCGTTAAACTCCAGTATCCTGTATATCCAAAAACATGTATCCCGTCTCCAGTATCCAGCATCCTGTATCCTGGATCCAGCATACAATTCTTTATCTCACATCGTTAATGAAATCTGTATTCAATTTTTTACTGTAAAGGTTTAGTAATTTTTGTAAAAAAAAAATTGTCATAACTATGGGTTTTGATCATTTTTATAGTATTTTCACGTTGTATAACGCCAAACTGAGCCTGGCTTAAACAATGGCAAATTGTCCTCGTGAACCGTAATGATCTGTTTGATGTTGTAATGACTAGCTTGGGAACCTGACTACCCATGGCAATCTAAATTTTCCCTAAAAAAGTCGACACACTCGAAATTTAGAATTTACTAACCAAGCTAAAAACGTTCCCGTGGTTCTACTGAGTTCTCATATCAAAATTTGATGCGAATAAGACAAAAGGTTACTGAGTTATGATCAGACTTACAAACAAACGAACAGAGATTACTACTTTATCTACATAGATTTCTATATTTTATAGAACTGTCCAAAATGAAAATCACAAAAATCTATATAAACATATAACATAAATCACAGGTGTGTCAGAGTCAATAATAACTTTTCATGATTGATTAGAGTCTCAATTAAAATGAAGAACTAAGTTTAAATGACCCCCCTCCAAAAAAAAACGTTAAATAATTGAATCCCAGTAAACTAAATTTGGTAATAGCTCTCAATTAATAGGAAATTAAGTGGAGTTCAATTATATACTTGGAAATTGATTCTCTATATGATTAGAAAAAACTCATACCTAAGATATTGGAATTAAGTTTAAATATACATGGGTTGAGTCAAAAGAAACTTGAAAATTTAGTCTCAATAAACTTAGGATTTCGGTTCAATAAAATAATTACATTAAGAGTATACACAGATTATTGTACAAATAACAGAATTACAACTTTATATTGGAAATTTCTCAAATGACTGGATATTTGGGGAATTTCCCAAAAACCCAGGCATTTGGGAAATTTCCCAGATACCCAGGCATTTGGGAAATTCCCCAAATTCCTGTAGGTATTTGAGGGTTGTATATTTTTAAGATTTTGGAAATTTCCCAAATATCCAGTCATTTGAGAAATTTCCCAAATGCCTAGGGTTTTGGGAAACTTCCCAAATACCTATTTAAAAAAAATGTGAATGCTGTCGTGTCATGTATTACTGACAGATTTGATATAGATATATACTTATTACTGATACAGATATAGACTTATTACTGATACATATATAGACTTATTACTGATACAGATATAGACTTATTACAGATACAGATATAGACTTAATACTTATACAGATATAGACTTATTACTGATAAAGACATAGACTTATTACTGATACAGATATAGACTTATTACTGATAAAAACATAGACTACTTATTACTGATACAGATATAGACTTATTACTGATACAGATATAGACTTATTACTGATACAGATATAGACGTATTACTGATACAGATATGGACTTATTACTGATACAGATATAGACTTATTATTGATACAGATATAGACTTATTACTGATACAGATATAGAATTATTACTGCTACAGATATATACGTATTACTGATACAGATATCGACTTATTACTGATACAGATTTATACTTATTACGGATACAGATATAGACTTATTACTGATACAGATATAGACTTATTACTGATACAGATATAGACTTATTACTGCTACAGATATAGACTTATTACTGGTAAAGACATAGACTTTACAGATATAGATTTATTACTGATACAGATATAGACTTATTACTGATACAGATATAGACTTATTACTGCTACAGATATGGACTTATTACTGATACAGATCCAGACTTATTACTAATACAGATCCAGACTTATTACTGATACAATTATAGACTTATATAGATATAGACTTATTACTGTATAGTCTATAGAGATCAAGACTTATTTCTGATACAGAGTACAGACTTATAACTGAGAGACTTATCGAGATAAAGACTTATTACTGGCACAGTTATAGTCTAAGTACTTTTACTGAGTTCAGACTTATTACTGTAAGGACTCTAAACAGAGTTGAATAGTGGGAAGACCACGAATACATCTGTGTACGTCCTGCATTGCCTCTTCAACAGTTCGACCAGAGAACCGGCCTAGATGACGCCTAAAACAGTGTTTATTAAATCATTAGTGCACACTTCAGAAACAAGATATTGAACTTCTAAACTGAGTACAGGCATTAAAATTAGATTCAAGAACCAAAGTCAATTAATGTTAGCTTAGAATCTTAATTTTTTTAAAGTTAAAAATCAACTAAGAGAAAAAATAGGGTTTAACAACCTTTTAGGCACCCACAAGTTTGTTTTTATTTTCTTATCGATTATAAATTAAGTTATTTTTTGTATAATAAACTTTTCACAAAATTATTCTGAATTTTTCCCATTCATTCATATCAATTACAATTATATATATCTTACCTACTATCAATTTAACCATGAGTTATATAAAATGTATAAATGACAATACCAGTGTAACTTTCAGTAATCTTAAATTTCATCATGTTATCATCAAAAGACAATATATACCATTTTCTTATTTAAACCTTTCCTTGCCACTTGTATATTTATTCATCACAAAAATTTAAAAAAATATGCCTGAATTGATTTGCATTTTAAATAGAAAGTTAAGAAAATAAATATCACTCTTCCTGAAGGATTTATATAGGATGGGTTTACCTGAGAATTGTAAAGAACTCTGCTCTAATGTTTTCCACCTTGTCTCTATCCTGTAAACCAGGAGTATCAGGATTATATAAAACAATGGCCACCATCAAGAAGTAAATCTAGAATATTTCAGATTACTTCTGGAAGTTATTTTTAGTTGTATTAAAGGGGCAGTATACCGTATAAACGTATGTCTCCATTTCAATAGAATGGGCATTGTGCTGGACATTAGAAAAATATATTGGAAGGACGAGGATTTCGAGGTGGCTCGGACGGGAAAATGAGAACAATGTGGCTGGGACGATAATTGTTGTGGTTGACCTTCCTCCCCTCGTGTAAGCTGGGCATGTCCTATCATCTGATCATCGACGGTTAATAATTCTGTGTGTTTCCTGCTAAAACTAAACCAGGAATTAAAATGTTAATTGTGCACAGTGTAGTGGGCTTCACGGAGAGTACTTAAAATATTTCTCAAAAATCTCGAATATTCTTTGTCCATTCTCCAACGTGTTTTTTTTTATTTCCAGAAAATATATACTTATACGATGTTTTAATATAAAACAACTTGCATAGATAGTTATCAACAATAACAAGAGTTTCTGATTAAATATATGTATATCTTCGTCATCATGGTTCAGTAAAAGGTTTAAAGGGTACCGTTGTGAATTGGAATAGGATTGAAAATGTTCAATTCCGATAATTCCCATATGTTTTCTGCAGTAGAAATGCTTGAATCACTTTTGTAGAGAAACCACAATAAAAAATAATCTGTTTTTAAAATTATAAACGTTGTTTTTTAATTTATAATTGATGAGACAAAGCTCCTAAGGGTACCGTTGTGAATCAGACATTGCCATCTTAGCATGGAGAGTCGCTTGTAATTACGCGCATAGCCAAATAGAATAGAATATATATTAGAGTGGAATTTAAACAATCCCTTGGTATGAATTTGTTCAGTTCCTTTCAGCCTGAAAGGGAGTTCAAAGTGTACAAATCATGTAAATGTTCACAAATTATATGCAGTAGAGTACATTAATACAGTATGTTCCCTAGACTATCCATTTCAATTTCGAATTTTTTAAGCTGTTAAATAAACTTTATAATGAATTAGGTGAATAAAAACATCATTTGATTTATAGTTATAACGGAAAATCATCGTTTGTAAAGTGGAAGGCATAGAGTCTATTTGAAATGATCATTGGTCAATTATGAAACCAGCCTATTTCATAATTTGGTTTTCTTTTAATATAAATTTTAGATTTTCTATAAAATGATATTCCAAGGCCCAAAAGGTTATAGAGCACAAATATGTGAAGTACACCTGTAGTATGGAAACAGTACAACAAAATGACCATTTTACATTCAACTCTAGTATATATGCTATTTTCTTTTCTCATAGCCCCTTTAATTCCTAAAATCCGCCAAGTTACCTTGTTGTCTTTCAGAAACGGTTTGTCTGTATTTTCTTCTAGAACCTGGAGAAGAAGAGTTTTCATGGTTGGAGCTAGAGGTGAACCTTTTTATCAGATCAATGTAAACTCAAGAATTATAAATCAGGGGCACCTACTCTAGTACCTATATTTAAGAATTACTTTCCCAACCCCTACAATGGATAAAAATAACCCAGCCCCCCCCCCCCCCCCCCCCCCCCCCCACCCTCTGCTCAGACCAATAGTAAAGAATCCCTCACCCCTCGTGCACCCCTTCCCTATGGTTATATTTAAGAATAGAATACTTTAAATTAAATAATAGGAGTATTGGTGATTAGAGTTAACATGGTTCCTTGGAAGATATTCTTTAATGAGGTAAGTGGAACACTCTCCCTCGTCCAGATGGAGTAATCAGCACTTCCTAAACAAAATTGAGTTTTTTTTTAACCGGAAGCATTTCGAAAATATGAACAATTAGTTAAACTTTGAAATTATACTATAATCCATCTTAAAAGAAATTTATATTTCTTCTTCTTAATTTTAACAATGATAATTCGCGCAATATGTTTCTTTCGATTGTTTCGTTGGCCTTGAAGTTTTGCGTAAAATACTCGTAACTTGATTATTTTAAGTTACGGGCTCATTTACATTATTATACTGTGCGGCGTGCCACCCATCACGTACCTTCAGAAACTTATTAACGTACTCTTTCTTTAAGGTAAATAAATTTTAGGTGTTTTTTAATTAATAAGAGCCATACAGGTGAAAAAAGGACTCAGCGCCAAATGCCGCCCTTCCCCCTTTTTTGAGGTATTTAAAACAAGTTTATTACCCAAAGCGTAGAACTGTTGATCATCTGTAGCTTGTAAATAATTCCAAACAGTAAACAGGTATCCAGCAGCACGGACATTCCTCCTGGATAAACGAACCAGTGTTTAAAGGGATAATTTAGCTCATGGGTATACAGATTACAGGGATCCAGAGGTAAAAACTCTTAAAAGACAGGATAATTTAGCTCATGGGTATACAGATTACAGGGATCCAGAGGTAAAAACTCTTAGAAGACAGGATAATTTAGCTCATGGGTATACAGATTACAGGGATCCAGAGGTAAAAACTCTTAGAAGACAGGATAATTTAGCTCATGGGTATACAGATTACAGAGATCCAGAGGTAAAAACTCTTAAAAGACAGGATAATTTAGCTCATGGGTATTCAGATTACAGGGATCCAGAGGTAAAAACTCTTAAAAGACAGGATAATTGAAAGAAATGAAGAAAGATGGAAAGATGAAAAATTATACCTGAGTAAGGTTATATAGTCAGATTCTGCCAAACGAGTCACATCATCAAATTCAAACATAAAGGCTGAATAAAACATACAATTTACAAATAGATAGTAAAGGGAGTGACCGGCTATGTGAGGTACAGGGTGTCCCAAAAAACATGGGAATTCAGTGACGAATTCGATATCGTCTTTGTTATGAATTAGCATTGTAATACCTAATTTCAAAAGCCATAATATTATTATGTCTGCTAGAGTTTATTTAATGAAAAGGGTAAAAGACTGAAAAGATGTGTCTATATTGTCTCCGCAAGATGAACAGTGAATATGGACAAGTTTACTCTGTTTGTATACTGTAATTTTCTTGTTTTACTAAGTACAACCGGTTGCAGTCAAAACATAAACAAACAAAATGTAAACATAGCAGACGAAACTCTTACAGATTACAGCTTTCTCAGTAGGTATCACTATACTAAATCAAAGAATTATTCATGAAGACGATATCGAATTCGTCACTGAATTCCCATGTTTTTTGGGACACCCTGTAGTTAAACTGAGTATGAAGTGTTGTGGAAAACTTCTTTCGGATTCATTTTAAGGATCTGTAAATCCTGAATTTGAGCGCACATTTAACGTTCAAAACTCCTTCTTTTGGGGTGGATAAGTTTTCAGAATTAGTTTTGTTTTAATTATTTAATAATGACAATGAAAAATAAAGTAAAAATTAGACGGTAATCTAATTAGATGGTTAGGAACATATTTTTCAAATGAAAGGAATTGAGTCTTTGGAACAAAATCAAATATTTAAATTTTAAATATCTTTAGAACCCGATGTTGTAAGCCTTTGATATTTCAAACTAAGATTATTTGATCTAACAGAATTCATAGTTTGAAATATCTAAGGTCTGTAACATTTGGTTCCAAAGATATAGTGATTAGAAAATCAAAGTATGTGGGAAAGAATCAATTCCTTTGTCAATAAATCAATGCTAAAATCGATTATTTCGTTTTCATTATTATATTGAATTTATTCTCTTTGAATTCATTCTTTGTGAATAATGAGAAACCAGAATAATGAAAAAATAGAAACTAATAATTGAAAAAGATTACTCATTTTCGATGAGAAGATTAATTTTTATTTTCTCAACATGTCCTATACATGACGTCTGTTGTTTATTGTAGAACTTTTTTACATTTTATGTCGTCGTTATTTAATAATTTAAAAAATCTAATTCTGAAAACGTATCCACTCCCAAAGTAGGAATTTTGAACGTCGAATTTGCGCTAGAACTCAGGATTTACAGATCTTTAAAAAGTTTTATATGTCTCAAATGAATCCGAAAGAAGTTTTCCACAACACTGCATACTCAGTTCAACTACCTTACATTGCCGGTCACTCCCTTTAAAATCTTAAATTAAGATGGTTCTCAACTAAATCTGGGTTTATAAAAATAGCATTATATTGGTATCTTTAAGTCGACCTGGGACCGAATTTAATGAATGAAATGACCAACGGTTAAGTTGAAGATTAATGAAGGATTTGAATCGGTGATTCAAATTTAAATCGGCGGTTGCAGTTTCAAACCATTTAATTCGGTCCCTGGCTGGACTGCAATGACTAATATATGTGCAATGTTTACTTGTATTCATTAGTTCAGGTTTAGCACAAATGTAGATGTTTCCAAATTGAAAACAAAATGTATAGTTTTTAGCAATCGTGACATGAACATGAACCTGATAATTCTGAATAATTTTCACTTACCCTATGTAACAAAAATAAAAAATTATGGCAACATTTTACAGTCAATAGTTAGATGTCAAAAGATTTTTTGTTTTTGTTGATCCATTTACATTATTAAGATTGTGAATTTGTGGGAAACAACTTGATCCTTTTTAATGTTTTAAATTGAATTTTCATTGAGAATCTTTTAATACCAATGATGACGTATTTTTAAGATTTTTTTGCACAAATTTGCTGAGGAGGAATTTACTTGACATAAAAACGCCCGAAATAAAATTTAATTTTACGTAAAAGCCAGAGTATATAATCTATAATATGATTTAAAAAACTGACCTACTAACCGTTCTACCAACTGTTTGTTTCCTTGAATGAAGAATTGAGGAGATATATCTCCCCCTGCCCTACACCAGTTAGCATATGCTCCCAGTACCTCAGAACCAAGATTATACCCGGACCATCGGGTCCAGAAACATTTAGCTCGGGATTCTAAATGAATATTTTACTGAATTTCCAATAAAATGATATTTTATTTTATATTATTTATTTATTAAAAAAAGATCATGCATTATAGTTTACCATCATTTTATCACCCTAGGGACAGAAACTACCTACCGCCGCCGATTCAAATCTGTAATAACCGATTCAAAGCTTTAGATTTATGAGAATTTGAAATGTTCCAGGATTTGAACCGGAGGTAGGTAGTCTTAAAACATTTTTGCCATATTCCATTTAAATTAAAGTTATATACACAGTTATAATAGACTTTATAATCTAAACCACAAGGCAAAGGGTTTACGACACTTTAAAGTCGACCCAGTCACAAAAAATTACTCCGAATTTTTATATCTCTCTGGATATCTGTGGGGAAAGTAACAAAAGATTTGAAATATTTGAGATTATTTATCATTATGAAAACTACAACTGAAAATATGGTCCTTGGCCAGGAATTTGTCCAGGGGGGGGGCCTTAATTTTTTTTCTGGGAGCTTTGACCCATTTTGGCCCCAAAACCCTCTGGAAAACATAGATTTAATTAATATATGATATTCAATTTTAATCTTTTCAGCAGAGCAGAGGCGTATTCAGGGATATGAGCCCTGAATATGCCTCTGCTCTGCTTAAGGGATTACAATTGAATATTATGGCTTCTCTTGAAGAATCCAAGATTATCTAAAACGATGAAGAATCTCCTGAAGTTTAATCCTCTTCGGTAATTTAATATTTTTCTTATTACACACCTAAGAAAAATATAAAATTACAACTTAATTTTTCTAGTATATTTTTTTACTGCTAGCATTGCTTTTTGTTTTAAGAGTTTTTCAAAATGCGAATCCAATTAACTTGTTTACATACATTTCGGTCCAACTTTATAATTTGAAAGAAATTTTTCTAAAAAATAAATAATTTGTATTTAATTGGCTGTCATAATAAGAACCAGACTTTCAAAAGAATATAATAATAATGTTAATAATAATAAAAATATTATTAACCATGGTCAACCATGGACTGCAAAACTGTAAAACTGCTTAAATAATATTCATTTTTGTTAAAATTCAAAAATAAACAATTTATTAAAACCATTTTCATATCGTATTTATGAAATTGAAGTTAATACCGGCCATAGTTGAACTACTTTTATAGTACACTCGTCAACACTAGAGTTCAACTAGCATTTTTAGTTCAACTACTTCACGTCATTCATAAATTTCGACCTTATTTAATAAAATTGTTTAATTAATAATATTTGACCTAGATATTTGATCTCCTCCACAGTATAGAGTTCTAGAACATTTGAGATTTCTAGACTTAGAACAAAATCCAATATTTCAGAATCCTCTGCAAGGTTCAGTAAACCTGCTCTCTATCTTCTTAAAGGGACTGTTTTTGAAGTGAACCAACCATTTAAAGAGTTACACACACAATTCACAACGGTAGTCTGACAGCAAAATTGATATACATACAGGGTGAGTAAAAAAAGTGAAATTAGCGGACACCTGGTGCAAAATTGTACCTTTTTGTGTGGAAATCTCCTGGTCGGTATTTTTTCAATATTTTTTTGAATTATATTTTTTGGTACTCCAGTGGCCCGAAAAATCCGCGAAACTTTTGTTTCTCTCAAAATAAAAAGTATATATTGTTTTTTATCAAATTCGAAAATTTTATAGAAATTGAATCACAGAATCAAAGAAAATTCTCAAAATTGTAATAAGAAAATTTGAAATTTTCAGTTCTTGTCTAATTTTTAAGAAAAAGTAGTTTTTCATTGGCTCCTCCGTTTTCAACTAAACAGCGTATATTTATAACTTTAGAATATACTAAGAAGAAAGGACCTATAAGAGGATGTAAAGATCATATTATTAAAGATTTTCAAGCAAAATTTTCTGCATAAAATTTATTTTAATATCTTCCAAGCTTTTAAACCAATATTTATAAAATCTTAGAATATAATAGAAATAATAAACATAAACATTTTTGTTTTCATAAACTTTTGATTTTGAGAGAAAAAAGTTTCGCGATTTTTTTCGGGCCATTGGGAGTACAAAATTTTTTTTTTAAATATTAATAAATACCACTCAGGAGAGTTGCACAAAAAAGGTACAACTTTGCACCAGGCGCTGCTAATCAAACATGTTTTTGACTTACCCTGTATATAGGTATCCTTGTTTTCAGGACAGTTTATAAATTAATGTACTACATGTGTAGTAGAATCTCGGAAGAAAATTTACAAAAATGATGCCGGAGCTGGGAACTTTAGAATGTGATATCCTTAATCCCGATCTGTTAATTAATCTGGAGATTAAATTCATGAGGACAACAAGCAATATTTAATCTGGAGATTAAGAAAAAGAGTGGATTAAGCATTAATCCCGATATCCACCATTCAAAAGTTCCCAGCTCGGGTTACATTTGTGAATGTAACCACGAGGGTCAGTTGAAATCACGCCGACAGATTCTAAAATCATATTAAAAAGTTTAACTTTTAACTTTTAGATTTTTTGTTACGATTTTTTTAATCTAAAAGCAGATTTAAGTTTCCTAAATTAAGTTCTTGTGAATCAATGCTCTCTAAGCTCGAGCTGTGCTGGAACACGGCAGGATTATCTGAAATTATTAAAAAAATGTTGACGATTATTTGTTCAAATCATTGCAACTTTTTTTCTTCTCAATTTATAAATATTTGGTTTTTATTTGTTTTAAAACTATTTCTTCAGGTTTCAGTTGGCCCAAAAAAAACCGAACGAAGCAAAATCAATAAATTTTGTCACGAATGCCCAAATATTTGGATAAGAATTAAAACTAAAGAAAGATGACACAGTGCGTCCAAAATGCCAATATATAGTTTAAAATTGTCTGATCTTTATTTTCCAAAATTGTCCTACCAGGATTAAACTCTTGATCTCTGCTCATCATTAACACACTACGCCTTGAAGTACCAGGCTCCTATACAACAGAGACCAGATTTAATAGATTGTAGTGAGAAGTAGATGAACCGCGTAGACTTGTTAAACCACCCCTTTAGTTAACCAGAGTCCGAATTTAATGAAATTGAGTCGCGTCTCAAATCCACCAAAAATCGGTTTGAATTGAGCGCCCGCTATTCATTAATTTTGATCCCAGGAATATTTTTGTGTACTTAAATGAAGAAGATGATTATTAAAAAGTTTCGAAATTGGAGAGAATGATCTGAAAAAAAATTTAGCAATAAGTTGTCGAGTCTTTTTTATAGATATAACAGACAGGCTGACCCGATCTGGCCCATATTTGTTTTATAGATATAACAGACAGGCTGACCCGATCTGGCCCATATTTGTTTTGGTGCCGCAAATTGCCTATCAGAGATAAAATGAGTTTCGTTACTTTCTATACTAGCTTGGGAACCCGGCGCTGCCCAGATTACTTATAGTTTCTCTCAACCCGTACTTTTTTACCGATTTACGATTTTACCGGGATACTAAATTTTCGCTTTAACAGTCGACCCGCTCAACTTTGATTCTCAAAACCAAGCTAAGAATATTTCCATAGTTCTCCAGACTTCCCCAATCATATTTGAGGCAAATCGGTTAATGGTTCCTGAGTTATGATCGGACAATAGACAAATAGAGATTGCAACTCTATATATATAGATTTGAGTACGAAGAAGAGCGCTAACATACAACACTTCTAAACTGTTTTTATATTGCTTAAACATTGTTACGCTTTATTAAGCATCAAATGATAAACAATCTCCTCAAAACTGAATCATTTAACAGTTACAAGTAGGCCTTATGAAGTTGTTTTCAACCAAAAGTATCGTCTACGTATTTAAAGAATAGTATGAACAATGAACACATGCTCAATCTGAATATATAGTCAATCCCCGCGGTTTTTCTATAGGAAACATGTCTACAATAAATTATAAATAAAAATGATCGAAATCTTAACTCTCTTTATTTTTCAGATGATTGTTAAAAGGGGAACTTCTTGCATGCTAATGGCACACTTCTTAACCCTATCACGATTGATGGGAAGGGGGGGGGGGGTTGTTTCCTCCCCCCTGTGTGTTTTTTTCAAAATAACTTAAAAACATAATAGTTGTGAACAAATTTTGGTATTTTTTTTTTAATGAATAGGGTAGGTTGGAGGACAGTTAAACGGCGGTTCGGTGTTTCAAAAAAATCAGAAATGGGTAATTACGTTTTTATTAATTAAGCTACATGGCTAAAATATATATATTTAAAAAAATCTTTGAAAATTGAATGTATAACATATGTCACATGTTAACATTTGTTAAAAGTAAAAAAATATTATTTTTGAACATTTTTTCAACGTACTTTTTGAACTTTTTAAAAATCCTCCCTTGCACCTAAATCATTAAAGATAGAGGAGAGGTATAATTTTGTTTTAATGAGCAGAACTTAGAAAGTTTGACTAGGGACTCAAAATCATAGGGGGTGAAAAATATCCCCCCCCCCTCCCCCCATTTCTATATTAGACAAAAATAGCCCAATTGGGATAGGATTTAAATGATGTATACAATTTCCTATCGTAAACCTTGTTGTCTGAAACATTGTTTTAATGAAGAAAAAATACAAAACATCAGACGCTCCAAAGAAATAAACGTGTTTAAATAATTTTTTATGAGATTAGCGGAATAGTAGCAAATATAAAAAAGTAAATTTTATTATTTAATTCATGTTTAAAATCCAAGTATTCCATATGAATAAAGATATTCCTACTTGAAGCCGAAGATTAAGATGAGTTTGTCCCTGATGTCCAACTTCAGGAGTTCCACACATATCTACACAATACATATTTATCATTTATCAAACATTTAAAATAAAACCATGATAGTAAATTTAATGACATATATTTGCATTTCATTCATGCCAAGAATTTGCGATTAAAAATTGAAAAACATAAAGTAAATTTTCTTAAACAAACTTAGAAATGAGTTTTTAAAAAATGTATAGCTTAAGTTACAGAATTAAATGAATAAGTTAGATTACAGAGTTAGAATGCAGAGATTGATTGCAGACTTAGGTTACAGAGTTAGATTGTATGTAGAGTTAGATTACAGAGTTAGATTGTATAGAGTGAAATTGCAGAGTTAGATTGCAGAGTTAGATTGCAGAGCTACATTGAAGAGTTAGATTGCAGAGTTAGATTGTAGAGTTACATTGTAGAGTTAGATTGCACAGTTAGATTGCAGAGTTAGATTGCAGGGTTAGATTGCAGAGCTACATTGAAGAGTTAGATTGTAGAGTTACATTGTAGAGTTAGATTGTTGAGTTAGCTTGCAGAGTTAGATTGCAGAGCTAGATTGAAGAGTTAGATTGCAGAGTTAGATTGCATAGTTAGGTTACAGAGTTAGAAAAGCAGAGCTAGATTGTAGAGTTAGATTGTAAAGTTGATTGCAGATAAAGAGTTAAAATTTAGAGTTAGGTTGCTGAGTTAAATTACAGAGTTCGATTGTAGAGTTAAATCACAGAATTAGATTGCAGAATACAGAGTTAGATTACAGAATTCGATTGCAGAGTTAGATTGTAGAGTTAGATTGTAGAGTTAGATTGTAGAGTTAGACTGCAGAGTTAGATTGTAGAGTTAAATCACAGAATTAGATTTCAGAGTTAGATTGCAGATTTAGATTACAGAATTCGATTGTAGAGTTAAATTGCAGAGTTAAAATACCTGAATTTCCAAAGCTCCCTGTATATTGTGTACTCCTAAACTTCTTGTGATAGTACAACAGATGTTTTTGAATCACTTCCATCATATAAATGTCGTCTTCGTCCCGTTTATTTACAGTCACATCAGGAAGACAAATCTTGAACAAAATAAATAACACAGGGTTGCCCACAAAGGATGAGACTTCAGAGAAGACTGAACAGAATTTATGCAGACTTTATTTTTGGTTCCCTCCAGCTTTAAACTTGTTCCTATTGATGCTAAATCATTTAACAGAACAATTAAAGACTAATTTTAGTGCAAAATACCAAATTCAATCTTCTAATTGTTATATTTTATAGATTTTTGGTCGTCATTACAGTTTCATCCTTTGTGAGTAGCCATGTACAATGATTTAATTCATTATATTTGTTTATTAGAAAATTAGAAAATGCCAACCCAGAAAATATGCTTTTAAGGCATGCTTGAAAGCGTGGAAAACCGAAGCCACCGTTGCCCCAGATTCTAGTTTAAAATCAAGTCAATAGGCATGAACCACAGCTTAGAAGGAGAAAATAGAATCAATGGAATCAATATTAACGAAGGTTTGGAAGACAGAAGATTAACTCTTCGTATGAGGCGAATGAAAGGCGGAGAGTCTGCAAGAGAGCTCCGGCTTTCCATAATTTATTAGTATCATTTTATTTGTTCTTTGTTTACATTTAAATAAATTTGTTCGTATACTCTGTAGATTTATTCACATCAGTTTCAGGCTTTAGATTTCCTTTATATCATACCAATTTTAAATGGCAACAACATATTGACAGCTGTGGGATTTGAACCCACACCCTTTTGGACTGGTGCCTACCAGTGAGTTATATAAACGTGAAACTTCATCAAAATATAACTTGAATTACACTGTGCATAATCAAAGATGAAATTAATACAGTGCTAACCAAAAACTGTGCAATGAAAAGACAAAATTATAGCAATACTTTTGTGTATTTGATTATGCTATACAACACAAATAAAATTACTTTTAACTTATTAAATCATTAATTAAGTTAAATGGGTCTGTGTTCATTATACAATTATGATGTCTCTTGTTCTTTGAACTATTTAAAGTCATAACTTGAGTCTAAAAGTCGTCTTTCCATTCCAAAGTTTTCTGGTTCTCACTGTAGCTGACAAAATGTTTGCAAATTAATTTAATTTACCTTAAATTTTTTTTCTTTGCAGTCCAGTTGTTGGGTCTCCAAAAGCTGTGAATCCCTGGCAGCTGTATTCTCTTCTATATATTCTAGCTGGTCAATGTCCGAGGTCGGGGTTAGATTCATCTTGTTAGTTCTGGTCTCAACAACATGTGGGAGTGGACTTTTTGAACTATTTAACAAGATAGGACTGCCATCAGTGGACACCTGTATTCCCTTGATATGTGCACTGGTTTCAGCTCTATGATGGATTGCTGGACTGTTGTCAACTCCAAGAATAAAATCGGAGCAAATGTCTGGTTCAAGAATAAATTTTGGATTATTGTCAGTTTCAAGTGGAAAATTAGGACGGTTGTCAGCTTTACGTGGGAATTCATGATCGTCGTCAGCTTTCAGCGGGAATTCTGGACTATTGTCAGCTCCAAGCGGGAATTCAGGAATGTTTTTGGCTTCCAAAAGGAATTCAGAAGAATTTTTAACTCCAAACGGCAATTTGGACTTAGTGTTCGTTTTCAGGAGGAATCGAGGTCTAGCCGAGGAAGCTTTTATTGTCATAGCTTCCTGCTTATATCGTGAACAAGAAGAACCTTCCTCTTGCAGTTGAGTTCTAGAAGCTTCCATCTTGAATTTAGAAAAAGGAATAGCTTCCAGATACTGTGAGTTAGCTGCAAAAGAAGCAGCTTCCAGAAACTGAGAGGTAGCTGCAGAACAAGCAGTTTTTAGATACTGAGAGTTTGCTCCAGAACAAGCAGCTTCCACATGTTGAGGACTAACCGCAGAAGAAGCATCTTCCAGATACTGAGAGTTAGCTCCAGAACAAGCAGCTTCCAGATATTGAGAACTACCCGCAGAAGAAGCAGCTTTTAGATACTGAGTACTTGCTGCGGTATCTAACAGGAGGTGAGGACTGCTACCTGAAGACTGGTGGACCAGTTGGCTAGAAAGATTACCCATACTGAACGGATCACGTGAAATATGAACATTTTTTATTTGACGTCTTGTAGTTTCTGTTTCAAGGTTACTGTTATAAGCCAATGGGTTGGAAACACTATAGATATCAAAGGTCGAATGGGTGCTGAAGGCGTCATGGGGCCGAGGAACCATATGGTTTCGCCTAGGATCAGCAATGACAGAGTGATTCCTCAGATTTGTTTCTGCTTTTGGGTGCCGATTAAGATCAGAGTCGGTTTTCAAATGCCAGTCTGCTCTTGGATGAGGACATCTAAACATTTCGTTAACAAATTAATATCAAAGATGCCGAAGCAAAAATATGTTTAATATAGCTAGCAGTAATTCGGACTGCGGACAGTTTTTTTTTATTAATATGAACTTAAAAATATATTGCAAAAAACAAGATCAACGATGGAAGTGTTAGCTTTATTTCTTATATTTCTTGGAAAAGAACTTAAGTTAATTTACGTATTTTTACGTACAAACATACCAAGCAGTTTTTTTAAAGAGCTTAGTTTTTTCAGATACGTATTTTTCCAAGTTTTTAGGTTTTTATTTTAAATATTTGTACGCATTTTTCGTATTTTTTCTTTACATAAAAATTGTATTTTTTTTAGTTTAAAAGTTTGATGCAATCCTTATAATGCGTATATTTTCGTAAATTCTATACCAAGTAAATTTCTAAGTTTTTAGTTTTTTATTCTATTTATTTTTACGTATTGTTTAGGTTTTTCTTTACTTAAAAAATTGTATTTTTTAGAGTTTAAAAGTTTGATGCAAACTTAAATAAACGTATATTTTCGTAAATTTCATACCAAGTCATTTTTCTAAGTTTTTATATTACGTATTATTCGTTTTTTTCTTTACTTGAACAATTGTATTTTTTTAGTTCAAAAATTTGATGCAAACCTCAAATTACGTATATTTTTGTAAATTTCATATCAAGGGGGGCACAGGAGCACCTGCCCCCCTTTCACCCCCTAAGGAATTGAAGAAATGAAAAAATACAGCTACTACTTGAGCTAGTACTTAATCAAAAAACTTAAATTCAAGTGACCATCCATGCAAATCTGGTAAGGCCCAATTCACAACGGTACCCTTATAAATTTTTCTGATCAAAGATGAATTAGATATCAATTTTCACAATTTTGGAAACATTTCGGGTTCTCTACAAAAGAGACTCGCACATTTCTACTACATGAAAAATATTGGAATTAAACATTTTTAAACATACAAAAACTACAACATCGTCCACATTATTGATCAGATAAAGCTTTAAAGGGAACCGTTGTAAATTAAGCATTGACATCTTTGCAAGCATGAAGGGTCACTTGAATTTACACTTACAGTTCCTTTAAATTAGTATGTTTCACATTTTTTTACCTCTTAAGCATAGTATGGGAACTTGGATCTTGAATAAAACCTCTGGGAAATCTAAGTACTGGCCCTTGTTCACTGCAACCTTGGGGTATCATGGTTCTCTCCTGCACTGTCGAATATAGAGGAGTAAATTCATATCTAGCTCTAGTGCTCTGTAATTTGTTGGATGTTTGATATTTTGAAACCACTGGTTTCTTTGACAAACAACTTTCTGATTCCAAACAAAGAATTTTTGAGGATTGGGCATCTCTACAAGCCTCTGGGGATCCGTAGCCATATGCGTAAGTTTTAGGTCTAAATGCAATGGTCGGTTGGTGGAACTTAAAAGGCGAGTTAAGGACAGGTTTACTAGGGAGAAAGTCGTTTCTTTGTGCTCCTGAACAATGAAGAGAAGGCCTGTATTGTCGAATTGTTGAACCCTGATGGAATTGGTTGTTGCTAAGCAGGCTACTCGAGGACAGTAACTTATGGACCAGATTGTTGTTCGAAGAAAGGTTAGGATCTTCTTCTGGGCCAACGACTGAAGAGGATTTAGGTTTGATGGGTATTCTGTTGCCACGTGACCAGCTCTCATTTCCCTGGATAATTGTTTCTCTCTGGAGTGAAGCAGACTTGTAAGGATCAAAGGCTGTCTGGCCAGGGTCTCGAAAATATTGATAAGCATTCGCCAGAGGAGCATTTCCGTCCAATCTTCTTAAACTGGGCTGGTAGGATGACTTTGCCGGCAGGGATGGTCTAACTGAAATAACAGGTGTAGGAATTGACTTCTGCACTGCTGAAGTTATAATTGAGGTTTGAGATGAAGTGAGAGCGCTAGAGTGCTCAACTCTGATGCTCTGAAACTGCAACATGCCACGAGCATCCAAAAACGGGATTGAAGGTCGATTACTTGATGACATAGAAGATCTGAAAAAGGATACGTATGCGTTAATTGTTCCTTGTAAATTTTGTTGAAAATAAAAGTGAAGTTCCAAAACGTGATTTAACTGAAACCGGCCAGGATGTCAAATTTGGTAAACATTAGCCAATTCATCTATTTTAATGGTGTACTTCTTTTTGTTAAAGTTAAGTAGAAAAGACAATTATTCATCTTTTCATTTGAAATGAGATGGCAATGCCCTATACGATGACACCCTTCAAAGACTTGTTTGATTAAAAGTATGAAATATATGAAATAGATATCCATGTTTTATTTTTTTTTTTTTTTAAACAGTATAATCATTTATGGTTTCTCTGCAAAAGTGACTTGTGCATTTCCTGCGCCTAAGAAAAAATGGCGACATTTTCAGAAATAAACAGTTTTAGAGTCACAAAAACGATTTTATCAATTCCACATTTTTGTTAAATCTTGGGTTTTAAGGGTACCGTACAGTCGTCGATCTCCATCTTAAGAAGCTGATACGAATTAATTCAATTTGTCATCGATATCCCATAGTGGTTATACTCCACAGGGATCAAGCATTTATCCTATAATTTAAACGCGTCCATATTGGATATCAAGATCAAACGTTTAAAATAAATGATACTGCATTTACAAGTTTCAACCTGGTTCATAAGCATGAAGCAAGGTACGGTCAGATGCAGAACAATAATTTTAAGATTTTTAAAATTTTAACCTTGCATTGTCTGGGTTTCATTCCTCATCGTTAATTCAATAATAGGCTTAATGCCGGTACCGTTGTGAATCGGGCATTTACCGCTTTTAAAGCGAATTGTAATGCGTAAATTTGGTTGTCAGTCCCTTTAAGATAAGAATAAAGCTGTAATTTTCTTACCCGATTTGATACAAAGTTTCAGGATGTCTCTCGTTTGTAGAATTTGAAACTGAAAAAAAAGATGCTAACATAACAGTACCAGTACAAAACATTAATCAAAATCAAAAACATTTAAGGTTTAAAGAGCATCAACATTTGCGAAGGCATTTTTATCAAAAACTGTTGTTTTAAGTTAGTCTTGATTTAAAATTCTTTGGTTTTTCAAGGGTATAAATGCGAGCTTCTCGTAAATTTACAAACAAAAAAAACTCAATAATAGTTTATATTTAATACTTGACAAATAAATAAATAAAAGATGAGGACAGGTTTCTTGTATTAAGTAGAGGGCTGATGGTCAAACCTTGTGTGGTGCTGGCTTGAAGAGAAGCTTTCCTCTTTAATATATTCCTGAACCTGGCCTAGCAATAAATAAATGAACAATTTGCAATTAAGAGCTAAGTAACTTAACATTGTTCTTTATGCTGGATTAAAGTTAGATTTTACAATTGTTAAAGAAATGTGACAGTTTGTAATATCTAAAGTTTACAACCTCAGGTTGAAAAGATTTACGAAATTTACGAAGAGAAGATTAAGAAATGGTTGTTACAAATGCATGGCTTCTTTCGACGACTTAGTTTCTTTCTCTTTTTTTCCATTAGTTGATTTATCTTGCACAGCGTTAATGTTTTTCTCAAGTTAATTGTCGGAAAAGTATTAATTCGAAGGTTTTCAATTCAAAATGTTTATATCGATTTGGACACGTTGTAAAATATATTAATTGTGACACCTTGTACAACATATTAATTAGAGCACGTTGTAAAATATATTAATTAGGACACGTTGTAGAACATATTAATTGTGACATCTAGTACAGCATATTAATTAGGACACGTTGTAAAATATATTAATTGTGACATCTAGTACAGCATATTAATTAGGACACGTTGTAAAATATATTAATAGTGACACCTTGTACAGCATATTAATTAGGACACGTTGTAAAATATATTAATTGTGACATCTAGTACAGCATATTAATTAGGACACGTTGTAAAATATATTGATTGTGACACCTTGTACAGCATATTAATTAGGACACCTTGTACAACATATTAATTAGGACACCTTGTACAGCATATTAATTAGGACACGTTGTAAAATATATTAATAGTGACACCATGTACAGCATATTAATTAGGACACGTTGTAAAATATATTAATAGTGACACCATGTACAGCATATTAATTAGAGCACGTTTTTAAATATATTAATTGTGACACCTTGTACAGCATATTAATTAGGACACCTTGTGCAACATATTAATTATAGGACACCTTGTACAATATATCGATTGGGACACTTTGTACGACATATTAATTAGGACACCTTGTACACCATATTAATTAGGACTCCTTGTACAATATATCGATTGGGACACTTTGTACAACATATTAATTAGGACACCTTGTACAACATATTTATTAGAACACGTTTTAAAATATATTAAATGTGACACATTGTGCAACATGTCAGTTGGGTCACCTTGTACAACATATTAATGGGTCACCATGTATAAGTTTATTGGGAATCCTTGTTCAACGTGTTAATTGGAACCCCTTGTACAAAATATTAATTAAGACTCCTTGTTCAACTTGTTAATTGGAAGACCTTGTAAAACATGATTATTGGGACCCCTTGTACAAAATGTTAATTGAGACGCCTTGTTCAATTTGTTAGTTGGAACACCTTGTACAACATGCTTATTGGAACCCCTTGTACAACAAGTTTATTGGGATTCCTGTTCAACATGTCTATTGGGACACCTAGTAAAAAGTGTTTATTGGGACACATTTTACAAAAATGCTTATTGGAACCCCTTGTACAACAAGTTTATTGGGACTCCTTGTTCAACATGTCTATTGGGTTTGGGACACCTAGTACAAAGTGTTTATTGGGACACCTTATACAACATGCTTATTGGAACCCTTTGTACAACAAGTTTATTGGGACACCTTTTACAACAAGTTATTTAATTACCTTTTTCTCATTTTCATTCAAAATCAGACTCGTCTTCATACCCACACTCTGGCACTTGGCATATCTAGTTACAAGATACAGTATATATATAAAATTCAAGAAAGAGGATACAAGATACAAGATACAGTATACTGAACATAGGGTACATAATACAAAACACAGGGTACAGGATACATGATACTGGCTACAGAACACAGGACATAACACAGGATACAGAACACAGGATACAGAACACAGGATACAGAACACAGGACACAGGATACAGAACACAGGATACAGAACACAGGATACAGAACACAGGATACAGAACACAGGATACAGAACACAGGATGCATAACACAGGATACAGATCACAGGATGCAGAACACAGGATACAGAACACAGGATACAGAACACACAATACAGAATACAGAATACAGGATATAGAACACAAGATACAGAATACAGGATAGAGTACACACACAATACAGGTTAAAGGATACAGAATACAGGATATAGAACACAGATACAGAACACAAGATATAGAAAACAGGATACAGAACTCAAACTCCATGTGAAAGAAATACAAAATTTGACACTGACAATAATTTTCTCTAAAAATTACAATTTTATTAAGTACTTCTTTTAACAAAGTTGTTACGACTTATCTTAACATATTCAAACCCCGTTTGTGTATAAACATATATAGTAGGCTTTTAGGAGCGTCAAGCCCCCTAACCTACTGACAATTTTTGCTTTCAGCTCTAAAAGTTGCCATTTTCAAATTTTCGCAGATTTTACTGTCAAAAATTGGTGTATTTATAAAATACTAAAGTTTGCCGTTTTTTCCGAGGAAAATATTTCAACTTTTACCAGCCATAAACCTTCCCCAGGATCATGTGATTTAGTTGCATCAAGTTTTTTGGCTCGATCTGTTCAGCAGTTTTTACGTTTATTGGATACAAACACCCTGACAGACAAATTATATGTATATAGATATATATACCGCGTTTACAAAATATTTGATTGTGGACTAAATGTATATAAACACTAAAAGCCCACCTGCATGCAGTACACTGCTTTCTCTCACTATGAGTTACTTTACACCCGCCTCCAACATTACATGTAGTATCTATCCCTCGCTGTGTTGCTCGTCTAAAACAAGAAAACGTTTTTACTTAATAATAAAAAAAATCTTATTTATCAGCAAACAGTATTGATCATATTTCCGCATGCAGCGCTTTGTTCATTGGGCCTGCACTTAGCAAGTCCTGTCCTTAGGTTTGGCTAAAAAATATCGAACATAATTTACATTATTAACTATATAATATGTAATAAAGCTCTTCTCTCCTATATATATATATATACAATATATTTATATGTTAGCTAGAGCTGACCAAAGGGTTGGACCAAATTGGTTGACATTTAATTTTGGTACCCATGGATACCCTAATAAAGGATGAATAACAAAGGATAACAAAGGCTGAACATTTTTTTTGTTTCAGAAATCGATTTTATTTCTTCAAAAATTCCATAATATATTACAATCAATTTCGAAAGGAATTAGTATATAATTTGTCACATAAAAGTCCCAGATCTTTGCAGAGCTTTATAAAAACCAAGATACTTTAATTTTAAAATGGTATTTAGTAAAACTGAGAAAATTCTCGTAATTGTTTAAATCATGTGGTTAGATTTTGATAAGATATAGTAGTTTTTTAGATAGTTAATATCATATCATATTTTAGCTTTATATCAAGACGTTACTCATAAAAATTAAAAAGTTTATCAATTGATAAAATTTACGAAAGATAAAATTTTTTGATAAGAATCTCTGCTTTCTGCGTTCATTATTTAGGAATCTTTATGATCAAAAGAACTGGCAATAACTGTACAATTTTTTTTAACTTCTTTGACTTGCTCTTTAGAATTTATAAATTCTCTTTTCATCTAAGACATTGCTGTGTGTGGTTATCGAAGATTAATTAAATTATCCAGTAGATCTGCATAAGATGGAGATCAATGACTAATCCTGAAATTCACCACACAAAATTCTTACTTCAGTGGTGGGAACTCCTATATTGCGAATATCAAGATCAACGCTTGATCTCAATCTTTTGGTAATCTGCAAATTAATTCAAATTTTATTCGATATCCCGCATGGTAATCATACCCAGTCAGTGGTTGAAGGAAAATTTGATCAGAGGAGGAATAAATGAAATGAAGATATGGAATGTTTTTGTTATAACTGCGTACAGGTAGGGCTGGGCACGTTCCGACTTTTTTTAAATCGTTTCTTTCTGTTCTAGAATGAGAGCCTTCAGCTAGATTGTTCCGTTCTCGTTCCTTTTTTCCAATCGTTCCGTTCTTAGTTAAGAACGTTTCCATCCCCCGTTCCTTAAAAAGGGGGAAGTACAATTTGTAGATTTAGAAAGAAAAAAACTTAATTTTCATAATCAATATTTCAATAATATTGAAAAGATATATAAATAAATTATAGAAAACAATTTCTTTCAACCTAACTCTCCCATTAGCCCTCACAGGAGAGGGAAGCCAGGGAAAGGGGGGGGGGCGGGTTTAGAGTGGGGGAGGGGTCAGGGACCGAATTAAAAAAGTCTTTAATTTTTTTCTATATGATTTAAAATGCTTTTCTGACTTAGAACGCATTCTTGATAAAGATAACACGTTCCTGATTTAACGTTCTTTTAAAGCAATTTCTGTTTCATTCTGTTATGTTCCGATTGTAAGAATGCGTTCTATGCCTTCGTTCCTTTTTTCAGAACAATGGGATCGTTCTTGATAGTTCCATTCGTTCTTGTTAATAAACGATTTTCCGCAGGAACAACCCCCCAGCCCTACATACAGGTGTAATACTAATAACGACCTAATTTCCATTCATTTAAACGTGTTTAATTATAATTAAATTCTGAAACTGTTATTACATTTTTAAAATACTTCCGGATGTTTTAGGATTATTAATGTTACCGGAAATTGAAACAAGATAATTATTCTCTTGTTAAGGGAACTGTAATCATTAAAAAAATAATATATACCTACTGTCATACTTCAGAAACCAATGTCAAAAGTTTTGATCTTATACAAAGCAGAAACTCTCTAAGTAGCAGGAGCAGCAAAAATGAATATATCACCTGAAGCAGCTCTGCAGCTGGAGCAGCAAACACCAACATATCACCTGAAGAAGCTCTGCAGCTGGAGCAGAAAAAACAATATATTACCTGAAGAATGCTCAGCAACTGTAGCTGCAAACACCCATATTTTACCTGAAGAATGCTCTGCAATTGGACCAGCAAACACCAATATATTACCTGAAGAATGCTCTGCATCTGTAGCATCAAACACCAATATATTACCTGAAGAATGCTCTGCAACTGTAGCAGCAAACACCTCCATAGTGAACTCTTGCTTTAGGAACTTTTTCCTCGCAGACTTCACATAAACTTTCAACTGTAACACTACTAGTTTGATTGCTTATAACTGTTTCACGTTCGTCAACTATTGTTCTTTCTTCAACCCCACTTGTACTTGCTTCCTGAATACTTGTACTTTCTTCTCGAACACTTGAACTTTCTTCATCATCCTTATCTTCCATTTTTATCTGAATACATGATCGATCATCTCGGTTATCTCTTTCAAAAAATAGGAGTTAAGTAGCAATTTTTAATTTTTAGATTTTTAGTATTTTTGATTTACTTTTATTTTTTTTACAAACAAAGCTTAAGGAACCGGAAGCAAACAAAAATTTAGTGACCCCATGCACAGATGGCAATGCCCGATTTGCAATGATTCCTTTGAAACCTTTATCTGATCAGAGATCAATAACATAGAAAATATTGTCGTTTTTAATTCTAATAAATTCTGTATATTTTCCAGCAGTAGAAATTGTTAGTAAACCTCCAATTGGATATACTAAGTTTTTAAAATTATAAACATGATTTTACTATTCCATACTTGTTCAGACAAAGCTTTCACTTATTTTGGTAATTCCGGGGTAAACTTTATAGCTTATTAGCTATTGATTAATATTGTTCTTACTTTTTAAAGATAACTGTGGCCGGAGAAAAAGCCAATTTTTCGTTCAGAATTTGAGCGCAAAGGGACGGTCCCTTTGTATATAAACTATTTGATTTTTTTTGTCTATGTCATGGATTAAAACAAATTTCGAATATAAAATTAAACTGTAGTATCTAATAGTTAACTGCGAATGTGATAATTTATAAAAAAAAATTTAACTTTCTATTTCTAACTAACATAACACTATTTTAGCGCATTGAAAATTTTGTATTGCTTCTCTGTAAAATGCTGAATAGAACGCGGCATGAAATATGAAAGTTGCGCGCATACAGGAACAGGATTATACATTATAATTGGGTGGTTAATAATAAATTAGACAATTGATTGAGGGGTGTCATCATCGCCAAAGGTGTGAATGAGAGCGGGTCAGAATATAGTGGGTTTAATTTTGGATTCATTCATTTCCTGGAATTGTTCCTCGAAATTTAACGAAATAGCTCGAAATAACGAAATCGAAATAATGAAATAGCAGGAATAACGAAATGCGCAAAAAACCAAGATTTTCTTCATAATTTGCGCGAAATAGCTTTTGCGCATCAATGCAAAATTATATCGAAATTTCGTGCAATTTTTACTCGAAACGTAAGAAAATCGTTGTGCAATTATTGCAAGATTTTCGTGCAAAATTTTTTGATGGGAAACCCTATACGTTGTACATTATTAACTATCTAAGTTTGTAAACCTCACGTAAAACCTATAATTCATTCACATGAATACGTAGCATGATAAGCTTAATCATGTGATATATATATAATGATGTACATATTAATTGCGCCTATTTTAACTGTGCTGTAAATACCTAACATGATTGTCTTAATCATGTGATATAGATAACGATGTAGAATTGTAATTAGGTATATTAACTTTAAATTGTAACATATAAACCACAAATACACCAGTTGAAATAGAGACTTGGCTTTGATTACTGCGAGAGAGTAATTGTGTCCTTGTTCAAAATGAATGAGTTGAAGATTGTGTCCAAGTTGAGGCATTGATAGTTTAAGAGATTGTGTCCTAGTTGAGGCAATGATAGCTCAAGATTGTGTCCTAGTTGAGACATTGATAGTTTATACAACCGACCTAGTTAATCTATATAATAGGAATATCTTTAAAACATCTCTGTACATTTATATCTTTCAAGATGAAAAATGTTGTCTTATCTATGATTGTGTCCTAGTTGAGGCATTGATAGTTTACGAGATCATGTCCTAGTTGAGGCATTGATGGCTCAAGATGGTGTCCTAATTGTGGCATTGATAGTGTTGTAAACCCCGAGTTTTATTCGGTCTACAGCAGAATTTAAAACACAATAATTAACTCTCTTAGTTCACATTTATTAATTCAATGATTGTAATAATTGTATATTTATATTTAGGAGATTAATATTCAGCATTCGGATCCACCTCGGTCTCAAATGACATCAGGAGCTCTGTCCTTCTCAGCATCAGCAAGGACATGTGGGTCAACAGTTCCACCTCCACCCTCAGATAGCGTTCCTCCCTAGATATCCTCCTATGCCCCTGAGATGCATCTACAATCAATTGATGTAGGCACTGCCAGGCAACATCTATCTGACCCTCGATCCTTCTCCAGTTACTGATAACTACGTCTATCCGGCCTCTGTCTGGCTGGAGGCCCAGTCTCGTCCACAGGAGGTCATCCTTGTCTGCATCCTCAGGCTTATCCTCTGGGTCGGGGGGATCTACAGTAGGATCCCCCGTCTGGGGGTCACCTCCTCCTGGCCCTCTCCTATCCAGATCATTCCCTCCTTCATCTACAGATCTCTCAGACACATCAGTAGCAGGCAGGACCCAAACTACAGCCCCATGATCCTCATGGTCACCACCCACTGGGGGTAGGGTGGTCGTAATCTTCATTATAGCTTTTATTAACCCTTTGTGGTATTGTTAATTACTAAGCTATTAATATACTTCTAATCAATCAATAATTATTTATCTTTTTAGTCATAAAGAGTTAGTATCCTTTATGCAGCCTCACGGAGCTATTTGTTTTACTTAACGATATAAAGCTTTAGCAACTTTTAGGGTATTTTAGTTACCTAGCTATTAATATAATTGAGAACTATCTAGAATTGGTTATAAATATATATATATAACTTTACTAAGCTATTGGTCTTGCTCAGCGTTATAGAGCTATCTTATTTAGCTTTACGGAACTATTGACTTTGCGGAGCTATTAACTTGCGGAGCTATTAACTTTGCAGAGCTATGTATTGGGTTTAGCTGTGTAGAACTATATATTCTAGTCTGTCGATGTAGAGCTAGATATTTATAGCTAGCTATACAGAGTTAGATCTTAGTTAGATTAATCTTATTTAGCTTTGCGGAGCTATTAACTTTGTGGAGCTATTAACCTCGCGGAGCTATCAACTTTGCAGAGCTATATATTGGGTTTAGCTATGCAGAATTATATGTATCCTTGCTTGTCTATGTTAAGATAGATATCTGTAACTAGCTATTCAGAGTTGAATATATTTATCAGGCTATTTTATGTTAATAGTCTGAGTTATGAATCGGTAAGAGTTTGGGAGCTGCACTTACCTAAGGTAGAAGATTATATTTGTATATAAGTCTTTCTACTAGTAAGGTTCTTTGTGCACTTCCCGTTCCCGTTTGCTTTGATTCATTATGTAGAGCGCTGGCTGCATTTTCTATATATATATATACGTAAATTCTAAGGTATTCCTAATCCGTTCCAGATTACAACAATAGTTACATGCGTCCATATAGACATTGATAGCTGATCGCGCCCATTGGTTTGGCATTAATCGATAAAGAGCTGGTGTCCTGGTTGACATTGATAGCTGAGTGAAACTGAATTGTACCTGGATAGATATGGGTTCGAGAGCAGTTTGTGGAGTACTTACTGAATGTTTACTACTATTTGGTCTAGGAAATAGTCTGGACAGTAAATTTATTCAGGAATATGCTGAGAATATCTCATGATATTTATGAGGACTCGAGAAAATCTTAGGAATTGTTCCCAGGAAATTGCCGAATTGGTAAAAAGAAATTCTCCAGAATCGGTTACAAGAAATTCTTCAAAACTGGACACATGAAACTCTCACGAAAAATTCTCCAACCGTTGTAAAATCCTTCTGAATGTCCTGTGTGAATCCAGCGAATTTCTCTATGGAGAATCTTTCTCCGGAAATTCTGATAAAATTCTCCAAAATCTGGCGACATTTTCACTGGATTTTCCAGGGTCCAGCTCCAGTGTCTTATGGACTGCATGATACCCCAGCGAGAAAATTACATAAGCACAATTTACTATGATACAACGTCATTCTACACAAGTGTTATACTATACAAACCTAGCATTCAGAGCATATTCAGGAATTTTTCCAAAGGGGGGTGATTAAATTTTATTTGTTTCCTGGGGTGGGCTCAGGACCTGTCGGGGCCAAAAAAAAACCTGAGCCACTACCTCCCGATGAATACGCCTAGGCTTGCATTCTCTTATATAACCATCCTTCGAACAGAATGGGACTGGGTTAGTAACTAGTTATTACAGTTTTGAATGAAAAAGTGGAGTCATTGTGTACTCAAATAAGTTAACAGTGAACGAGTTTGGAATGTAGTCCAATTCCATCAGAAAGCACAAATCCGTAACTTTTGTACAGATCATGGGTACTGGAATAGGGTATCCCAACGAGGCTCGCGCACGAATGAAAGGTCGATTCGGTACGGGGGGAAGATCCGTATCCTCTTACGTCACTGATTAAAACTATTGGTGGAGAATTCTCAGACCGCCAAAGAAATGCCAATCACAATTATGCGTATACTCGCCAGTGTCCACTTTGTGCCCTGTACCGGGTTATGACGTATGGTAAGATACAGAAGCTAGAATTGTATGACTACCTTACCCTATTCCAGTACCCATGGTACAGATTAAGTTATAATTCTTTCTGAGGTCCAACCACTTTCCTTTCCTGTCAAATAGCGCTCATCTAAAAACATTGTGACAACTTAAAATTTCGAGGTTAAGTGCTTGATCCCTTTAGTTCAGGGTGACCTTAACTCTGAAACATGAAAAATCCTCTTCATCTCCTAAATGAAATTGAAAATCTCCAAAATTCCCCCAAATTTAGACCAACTTTTAAAAGAACAAGTATGAAAATTGAAACCATAATTACCATGTAATAAATTAAGTTTTTTCATAACTAATAACTTTAGACAAAAAATATATATCTTTTGGTATTGATTAATTGTTTTTAACGTAGTCTATTTCTTAGCTCAGTTATTAAAAATATCCTTCTTGATCTTTATCGAACTTAATTGCATGTTATATAGATGATATTTCATAATATTATTTACTTGTTTCACATACGATGTACGTTAAACGACGATTTTTTGTCGCTAGGTGTCGTTGGAGTCGATATTCCATGTGGATCTCCAGTAGCATTAAAAGAAGAGACACCTAGTGCCAAATAATCGTCATTTAAAGTATATTGTATACAAACAAGTAAAAACTATTATGAAATATTAACTATATACAAA